AAATTTATTTAAAATTCAAAAGAACTATCCACAAATAAAGTTTGCTTTCGTTCATCTATTTTTCACCCTACACCCCTTCCCCTCCACAAATCCCTCACAGAGATATTACGTTGAATGCTTGTGTCTCAGCGAGGAGGGTTCTGACAGGATGTTCGGGGGAAACTGGCCAGGAGGAGCGAGCGAGTGAGTTGGACAGCGCGGGGGGAATGGAATTAACATCGATAGATGCTTTCATTCAGCCAGGGTGCTTGAGCGATCCTGTCATTTCAGCTGTGTGTCATCCCCTTGGTGCTGTCAGGTTCCGCCACTCCTCCCAGCTCCCTGATCCCGCCAGTAACACTCAGCGTTCAAACACAAACAGGTCCCGAAGTGGGCGAGGGAGGCAGAAGGCTTTTCGACTCGAAGCGAGAAGCTGACAATCATAATAATAATAACAAGCAATCCTTGCACTTGAGACAGCGCCTTATCATGTCATTGAGGCGTCTCAAAGCGCTTTGCGGGAAGTGACTGTGTATTTTTTGTAAGCCGACCCAGCAGCCAATTTGTGTGCAGGAGAGTCCAACAAGCATATTTTGTTGTTGTCGTTGTCGTTGGGCCATTTTATCCGAGGGGTTTGTTGGGCAGGACGCCCCAGGCTCTTCAACGTCCACCTGAAGAGCCGGCACCTCTGACAGCTCAGCGCTCCCTCCACCACTGCATCGGGACGTCAACCTGGACTAGAACTTGAGCCCAAAGTCCCAACGCTTGCAGCATGAACTCACAACCTTCTGACTCGGGGCGAGAGTGTTGCTTGTAACCGACCGAGCGGATGAATAAATTCGGAATGCACACTCCATCTCTACAGGAGAGGTCGTGTTTCAGACTGGCCCAAGTGTGCGACCACTGCCACAGCTTCGGAGAATTAATGTCGTTACCACCTAAAGCCCACAATCGTGAAGTCATTGAGATTAAAAATCTCGAGAACCAAACGCCTTTTGAGACAACCACGAGGCCCATGTGTGGCTTTGGCGTAATCAGTAGTACAAACAGTAACTGGTTTAGAAATAACCCTTAATGGACTGACTCAACTGCAGCTTATTTCCCTGAGGACGTTTACGAGCACTCTGCGCTTATTTGTCAAGCTTTATAAGAGCGTCTGTGAGCCAGTGAGGAGACTAAAAAGGCCTCTGGAATCTTTCTGCAAAACCATGTAATGAATTTGGGACATGATTTGCAGGTCCTCTCAGAGCACTTAAATGCAATAAAATTTACATTCATTATGCAGAGCCTTTCACCTCAAAAGGATTGTCCCAAAGTGCTTGATACTGGTGGCTGGAGGTGGGGGGGGGGGGGGGGGGGCGAGAGCTGTAGGGAATGTGGGAGGGAAAAGATGAACGAAAGCGCAGTTAAAGAGATGTGTCCTGAGATGGGTCTTGGACCAGGGGAGGGAGGGAGAGGGAGGGAGGGAGACGCCGTGATGGGGTCCCAGAGAGTGGGGGCAGAATGGCTGAAAGTCCACCGGTCTATGGTATGGCAGATAGGGAGGATCTGAGTCACGGAAGTAGGGCGGAGCGAGACCATGGAAGGATTTGAGGGTGAGAGCTCGGATCTTGATTTCGATCTGCTGAAAGATAGGGAGTCAATGGAGCTGAGTGAGGATACGGGTGATAGGCTCGCGGAGCCTAGTGCGAGAGAGGACACGGGGAGCAGGATTCTGCACAGTCTGCAGCTGGTGTAGGGAAGAGATGGGCAGTCTGGTCAACAGGGCATTGACCTAGTCAAACATGTTGTGCTTCATTTCGCTTTCCATCCCTCAAGCAAAATGGATAGCACAAAGCCTAGAGAAAAGGAGAAAGAGCTTGCACCTTTATAAAGCCTTAACGCATCAAAACATCTAAAAGCGCTTCACAAGTAATTACTGTCAAGTGCACTGATTTCTTTGTGGGCAGATCAGTAGCTATTTGCATTAACAGTGTCCTCCTACTGGACATCAGGTGAACAATCAATTCATCTGACGAATGTTGGCCAGGACACGGGGAGAAATTGCCTCCTCTTTATTTTGAACAGTGCTCAGGGATCTTTGACGTCCACTCAAAAGGCCAGACAGATCTCAATTTAAAGCTCTCATCCGAAGGACGGCGCTTCGCGACGATGTCAGCCCTCCCACCAGGTCGTCAGCCTAGACCATGAGCTCAAAGGAACATAGGAACATGAATAGGCCATTCGGCCCCTCGAGCCTGATCCACCATTCTATTAGATCATGGCTGATCTGTACCTCAACTCGTCTTTTTCTCCATATTCCTTGATACCCTTTACTAACAAATATCTATTGACATCATTCTTGAGAATTCCAATTGAGACAGCAGCCACGGCTCAAAGTGCTAATGTGGGACTTGAACCCCATCCCCTCCCCCCCCCAACCTTCTCACCCAGAACTGAGAGGCCTAGCGAGACCAAGCCAAAAAGAGCAAATGATCGCGATAATTGAAGAGGTTGGAGTACCTTAATACCCTCTGAAACATACATATATAATGAGAAGGAACAAGAGGGAGAGGGGGAGAGAGAGAAGACACCCAGACCTTTATTTATTTATGCAAATAAATAGCACGCACCTCCTGATCGCAGACATCCCCTGCAGCATTTCTCTCATTGAATGTCCATCTCAGAGCGCTTGTATACTCACCTATATACCTATATAACAGCAGTAATAATAATTCTTTCATTTGATATAGTGCTTTTCATGTTGGGAGGATGTCTCAAAGAGCTTCACACTGTAAAGTGTAGTGACTGTGTATTTGTAGGCCAACTAAATAGATCCAGTATGTAATACACATACAATACAAATTTATATTTATATAAGGGATGTGGATACCTGAAAGTGTGGTGGGGGGGGGGTGGTGTTCAAGGAAGAAGGATCTTGAAGGAGACGAGGAAAAGAATATACACATAATATATACAGTACCATCAAGATTAAAGACGACAGTACCGGGAAATTGAACATTTTACTCTTTCTTTACACTCAGTCCCTGCCAAAAACCTTCCCACTCTATGTGCAGGTCCTGTCAGTTATATCATCTGTCATCTCAATCCTTTTGACTTTTGGGGTGGGGAAGAAAGCTCCTCTCTCAATGGGTCGAGGACAGAGAGCATCACTCATTAGGAGTGCCACTCACTCAACTTGACTTCAATGGCGCGAGCTACTTTGATGTGTGTCACTCCTGAACACAAGCACTGCTCGGATACGCTAGATAAGTTTGCAGTCGGTGTCAGATTTTATTCCCCCTGGCCGTGAATCTCTCTCTCTCTCTCTCTCTCTCACTCACTCTTGTATCACTTCAGTTTATATTGACATGGCAGAATCGATATGACCTTCGATGTCCTCTCGCTCCGGATACTGCCAGACACAAGCCGCAGAATACAATGTCAGGTTTAGGGCAGCCTTTAGTTCTGTCGCTTACACACGTACGCACTCGGCCTTTGGTTCACCCGCTTTTCACCTTTGTGACCTCCGTCCTTCGGGTGAGAGTTTAACCCGAGGTCCCGTCTGCCTGTTCGGATGGACGTTAAAGATCCCAAGACGCTATCCGAAAAGAGAAGGGTGTACCTCCCATTTGGTGTCCTGGCCAACAATCCCCCAAGTAAAAATGGGTCGCTCGTTCCATGGCTGTCGGTGGGACGTTGCTTGTGCGCAAACTGGCTGCCGGGTTTTGCCCACAAAATACGCAGTCGATCCGTTGTACAGTGTATCCTGTGAAGCTCTTTGAGACGTCTTGACGAGATGATAAGGCACGGCATCAAACACAAGTTTCTGCTTGCCTTTCACTTGTGTTTTATTTCTTGGGGGTGTGTGGGGAGTGGGGTGGTGGGGATTGCAAGACAGGAGAAACGAGCCTTTTTTTGACATATATAAAAAATCAGATAGATAGCTTCCACCACTCCCCTCTCCCGAGTTCTCGTTCCCACCGTCTGTCCCTTCTCCCCTCCAGCTGGCGTTGTCGTTCCGTTGGCCTGGTGCTCCGGGCACGTATTTAAGCAGTACTCCAAGGCGATTACTTACAAGAGAGCTGTTTCATTCCTGGCACATTGGCCATTACTGCTAGCTGGGTTGGAATTTCTCAAGCTATCCTTTAAGGGCCCTGGCATTTAGTCACGTATTCTGATTCAGCCGCAACCGACAGGAGGAAAAACACAGCTAAGCCCACAATACGAATTTATACGAAGGCATCTGAGCGGGGAGATGTAAATCTTTATATCCCTCTTTTTAATAGATTTCACTTCATTGCTTCGTTCTTTTCAAGTCTCCCATCTCACGTTAGATTACAGCAGGCTGAAGGCAACGTATGTTTCAGTTTAATTAAGTAGATCAGTTACCAGTGCAATGCTTCCTACATTTCCTTTCTACGTGCTGTGTTGTGACACTGAACCTCAGAAGCTGTTTAAGTTTAAGCCATTTTCTGCACTCAAATATAGGGTAATTCACTGAATCATTTTGTTTTTAACTTTGTGCTTACTGTCCTTATTTTTGTGCTGATCCTGATCCAAATTAAACAAGAAATAAAAGGAATCCGTCCGTTTGCTACAGGGCCTTTCAGGTCGGGAAGACGACTTGAAACGTTTCACAGGATAATAATAATAATAATTCTTGCATTTGATATAGCGCCTTATCACGTCATTGAGACGTCTCAAAGCGCTTCACAGAACATACTGTAGAGTATTTTGACTGTATTTTGCGGGCGAAACGCGGCAGCCAATTGCGCACAGCAGCGTCCCACAAACAGTCGTGGATTGAAGTGACCAGATTATTATGATTATTATTATTTTTTCTTGAAGGTATTTATTATCCTCTGAAAGCGATCGACTGATAACCGGGTTCCTACTTACTGCTACTAGAGGCATGTTGTGTAATGGAACTAGCCTAAGCTTTCGCCCTGCCCGGCAATCGAACGTGTGTCCTCTTGTTTGCGAGGCGAGTGTGCTAACCACTACGCTACCAAAAACATGTGGCTCTTGTTCCTCTCCAGGTTACTCCATCCTTCAGGTGATTATGGAAGCTGCCGTCCAGAATAACTGGCAGGTGACAGCCAAGTCCGTGGGGAGCATCACTGATGTGATTGAATACCGACGGATCTTCGAGGAGATGGACAAGAGGCAGGAGAGAAGATTCCTGATCGACTGCGAACTGGGGCGACTCAACACCATCATGGACCAGGTATCTCACCTTTCCCGTAGCTCCTGGCACCTCGCGCTTTCAGACGTAACAGTGCTTTGTGTCCACTGCCGGAAGGGCTATGGAGAGCACTTCGCGACGCAATACTAAGCTCTTCCATTCCCAATGCAAAGCCTTATCCAACCTCACCTCCTCACCCAAGTCATTTTTTTTCAGCCACACTGCTGGAATCCTGCTCCCTTTGAGCCAATTTTGAACACCCACTGTATAAAAGGATCACTTTAACAGCTTCAGTGTAGGGAAGTGTGCGTGAGTGTGTGTGTGTGCGCGCGCGTGTGGAGGGGGAGAGGAGGGAGTGGGAGAGGAGGTGCTGTTTGAGTAAGACTGTGAGCTGAATTTAATGTGTGTTTGAAGCTCAGCTCAGAACATTGGCTCGATGCAGTAGCACCTTTTTTTTTCTTTTTTGCAGTCACATTTCCCTGCAGCTACACACACAAAAAAAGATGCAGGATAAACGAGTGCTCTGATGAAACCTGCATGAGTGTGAAATTAGAATATGTTCAGCAGAGTGTGGATACATCCTGTTAGACCTACGCTTTGCTAGCCCTGGATAAGATTACCAAAGGATTTTTCCAAAGCTTCCAATTAAGAGACCGCGAGATTTACACGTAGCACATCCCGCAGCACATGACGAGGTAGAATTTGTGGTGTTCTACCAGTGTAATGCCGGCATTAATTAGCAAACGTCGCAAATTTCACCCCCTGTCTCCCTATTGAAGCAGTAATGAAACGATCCTTCGTTGCTTACGTATCTGCTCCCACCCTTTGGAACTCCATCCCGCAGTCCCTTCGCCTCGCTCCCTCCCTCCCTCCCTCTCTCCCTCCCTCGCCGCCTTCAAGCCCCCTCTTGAGATCCTCCACTTCGACCGTGCTTTCGATCGCCCTCCTACCCCCTACCCTCCCTGCCCTCCACCCCTCCTGATCCCAACCCCTAGCTCGGGGCCAAATCCCTGACTGTCCAGCGCCTTGGGAGGTCCTCCCGATGTGCAAGGCGCTGTGTAAATGTAATTTGTTAACGCTTTGTATCACAAGCTCTCTCTGTGTACACGCAGAAATTTCCGTGCATCAGGAGTGCAATGTACGTTCACTCCATGGAAGCACATGCTCTGTTTATCCCAAAACCCAAAGAATATTAGGCTCAGGTTGGCTAGAACTTATGCTTGAGGGACCCCACAGTGTGCATTGGGGGATAACAGCTGGAGCGTAACCAGCTAAAACCACATAGCTTGGCGTATCCGCACAGCAGTCGACCTCTCTGCTCTGCTGTTGTCGTAGTGAACATTTGCAGTGAGCAGCGCCATTTATGCACTGGGGAGAGCAATGAGTTACGCTGTCTGCTCGCAACACCGGAGGGTGATTTAGCAACCTCCTCCGCTGCTGCCGGGCTCTGTATTGATTTAAAAAGAGCTGACAGGACAGTCAGCTCTCCAGCGAATGGAAAACCGAACAGCCGGGAAAGAGGAGCCTGCCGGATTTCAAACAAAAGAACACATTTTGCAATGGCCAGAGCAAACAAGGCCTCAAGACCGGTGGGGGGGGGGGGGGGGGGTGGGCATTATCAGCTGTAACGTGAGGCACTTTACACCAGGCCCACCCCCCCCCCCCCCACCCACCCACCCCCTGGAAAAAGAGAAGGGAGTTTCTCTCCCGGTGTTCTGGCCAACAATCCTTGAGATAAAATGACTCTGTCACTTTGTGCTGCTGCGTATAAATTTGACTCTGGTGTTTTCCTACGGAATACACAAACAGTGCGTTCAGTGTGAATTCCCTGCGAAAGGCTTTGAGATGTTTGGAGTTGAAAGGTGCTGCATGAAACATAAGAATAATAAGAATTATTATTACGACTAAGACCCCAGGTGGAATTTCTCCCTGTCCATCCATCCCCGCCTCCTCCCCTCCACCCCCCCATTGGAGTCTAAGGAAGGCCAAACCTGTTCTGGTTTTAAAACCTACGCCGTTTCCCAACCACGTTTTCACACAGCTTTCTTTTCTCTTGTGCCGCAGGCCGTCAATGTTGGTAAAAACATCCGAGGCTACCACTACATGCTCGCTACTCTGGTGAGTGTCACTTCACGGTTAACTGAGCGGTCGGTACAGGTTACTTGGACCCGGTGAGACAGAGTTACAGACTTCGCACGAATCTTTGTTGTGAAATGCGGGGAGTCGAAATCCACACTGTTCGGGAACGCATTTCTTGTAAGTTGTTTAAGATAATAAGTAGGAGCGCTCAAAGGATTTATTTTCTCCCAGAGGGACATCAGAAGATGGAAATGAGTTGCCGGGGTGGATGTTGGAACCTTTGGGAACAATTACAAAGGGAATTGGATAAGCACACCGGGAGGCGTTGGAGGGCGTGGGGGAATGAGCAGGGAATTGGGATTAGGATAGACTGCTTCATGGGAACATTACACTAATAAACTGACACTGCCCCCCTCCCCCCCACCCCCCGCAGCTCCCTCCCAGCTCCGTCTCCATCTCAGCCTTTGTAAAGACGTTCTCCAAACGTGAAAGGCGCTTCATTAGTGTAAACACCTGCTCTTGTAACAGCCGTAAACAGCGCCTCATAGTTACGGGGGAATACAGCAAATAATGTGAAGAATTCATTCACAAAGCGTTTCGACACTTTTTGCAACAGCAACTGGCGCTTATATTAACGGCCTTCAGGCAGGATAGCGTCTTGGAGCGCTTCACGGTGGTGGGGTCTGACGCTGAGGAAGGTAATTTGCAGAGTTCTGCTTCTAATGACACTTTTGAAGTGGAATTTTGCAGTGAGATGGTGCTATAGGCTCTGCATTAACCCAGCGCTACAGAACTGCTCTCTGTTTCGATATCACTGGAGTGCCAACACAAACCGTTGTGATAGCACAAAGTCCCTACATTCCCCGCCATATGTTTGGCCGTGTGGGCTGTCTCGTGCTGGGCTCGGAGCCGCAGGTGCTCGCGATGTTGGCAAAGCTCCGTGACTGTGGTGGGGGGATGGTGGTGGTGAGGAGGGACCATCAGGACTTTCCAGCAGCGATGGGGATAAAGGACAACACAGCCCAAGTTTTCACAGGCTTTTCCCAGGGAGCTGATCCTGCTAACACCACCCAGCGGAGAACGTAACTCAGCACAGGCCGGGGCAGAGCCGAGGATTGTCTTTGCTTCATGTGCCCCAGCCCAGCCCAACCCAGCCGCAGAGGGCAGCGTCTTTGCTCCCTGAGCCATGGGGGCAAACGTTGATTTCCGCAGCCAAATTATTATTACTATTACTATTATTTTGGATGAATAGTCTCGGGGTTTATTTTGTGGATTCTTTTTCTGCCCGCAAAATACACAGCCACTACACTTAACAGTATGTCCTGCGAAGCACTTTGAGACGTCTCAACGATGTGATAATGCACTATATCAAATGCAAGGACTATTATTATTATTATTATTATTGTTATTTTTCCTGCAGAGCTCAGCTTCCAGCCTATTTTGCTTAATGATTATATTATTATTTTTAAAAACTAAAGGGATTAAGGGATATGGGGATAGGGCAGGTAAATGGAATTAGGTTAGAAGATCAGTCATGATCTTAATAAATGGCTCGAGGGGCCGAATGGCCAACTCCTGCTCCTATTTCTTATGTTCTTATGTTCTTCTTCTTATATATTTTGCTTGATGCTTTATGAACCCTCCCACCTCATCGTCACCCACCACCAATGTAGTATTTCTGCTGCACGCACAGAAGGAGGGAAAAAAAAATGCTCCTGTGTTCTCTCTAATATGTGTAGAGGGAAACCTTTGATCAGAGAATATAATGCACCGTCAGAAGCTCATCATTTTCTCCCGCTTCGCTTCTCAGTCTGTCTTTGACTCGTCCTGCACTTCCTCCTTTGATGAGGTTCAGCTTTTGTCTCTCTCTGTGCTTCCTTGCAATCACTGCATCCATTACCTTTTCTAATCACTCCGCTTTCCCACTGCCCGCCTCCGTTCCTCTTTTATGCAGCGTCTTTTATTTGGGGTTTTAGCTGATTCTATATTCTTTCGCTCGGAATAGTAATTTGAGCAGCAAATGCAACTGTTGTTTTTTTTTGTTAGGAGATATTGATTTAATTTTCAAACCCCTCAAATCGATGCCGTGGACTTCTCCGTAAAGTCAAGGCTTTACGTCAATTCACTTTACAGTATATTCTGTGAAGCACTTTGAGACGTCTAGAAGACGTGAAAAGCACTATATCAAATGCAAAGGTTATTATTATTATTATTATTAATATTATTTAAACACCAAACAGACTTGTTAAGACTTGGAAAACAAAACAAGCTTGGTAGCTTTTTGGCATCAGAGTTGGGACTTCCCTTAAGGATCTTAATAGCCATGGTCTCGCCCCACCCTACCTCTGCAACCTCCTAACCCCCTACCAACCCGCCCGCTCCCTCCGCTCAGCCGGCTCTGGCTGCTCGACATCCCCCGACCCGCCCGCCCCACCATCGGCGGGAGAGCCTTCAGCCACTCTGCCCCCAATCTCTGGAATTCCATCCCCCAGTCACTCGGCCTCGCCCCCTCCTTAGCCTCCTTCAAGTCCCGCCGGAAGACCCTCCTCTTCGATCATGGCATCAGCCATCCCCTCTTCCCCTCCCCTCCCTTCCCCCCCCCCCACTCCGACCCCAGCTCGGGTCTGAAATGCTGTACACTGTCCAGCGCCTTGGGACGTCCTCCCAACGTGAAAGGCGCTATACACATGTAATCTTGTTGTTGTTGTTGTAATGTTGTTTGAGGCGTCTCAGCTGTTTTAGGGTGTCAGCACTCTTGGCTCGGAGTCAGAAAATTTGGGATTCAAGCCCCACATTTGAGCTAATATAATCCCGCCTGACACTCCCAGTGTTGTGCTGCATTGTTGGAGGCGCTGTTCTTCCGATGAGATGTTGATGTTGAAGATCCCACGGCAATGTTCGAAAAAAGAAGGGAGTTCCTCTCTCCTGGTGTCCTGGCCAACATTCCCCCAAACAAACAAAACATGGCCACAGACTCCATAGCAGTTTATGGGGCACGTACTCTGTGTGCAAGTTTGGCTGCCGTGTTCGTCCGCAAACACAGAGTCACTATGCTTTGCAGTAAATCCTGTGAAACCCTTTGCGGCATCTTCTCTAAATGATACAATCCTTATATCAAATACAAGGATTCTTATTACTATTATTATTACAGAAGGAGCACCAATTTCATTCCGCTCAGTGCTCAGTTTGTTTGCTTTCTTTCGATGTTCCATCGCCTACTCTTTCTTTCCCTTTGCTCCAAAGGGATCAGTTTCCGCTAACCAGGTGCCCAGCCCACTGGTTTCAGAGATAGCGAGCGAGCTATTACACAGCAACAGAAAGCTCTCAGGCTCTCTTAGAAAATATGTCTTACGTTGAGCGTTTTATAATCCCTGTGATCTGTGCAAATTGTTCCTCCGTCTGATTTCTTGTGGAGGGGGTCACGGGTTCCTGTGCAGTCAAGGAGTCGAGTAAAGGCATGAACACGTAGAATATTTTTAACCTGACCTGAATGTGTGTATGTGTGTGTGGGTGTAAAAAAATATCCACGGTCTGTTGAGCTGCAGATGTTTCGTTACCGCAGCTGTGTCGCTTACGTGACCTCCTGAACACAGTCACACGTGTGATGTGTGCAAAAACAAATGGCCTTTTCCCACCGACGCTCGGAAAGAGGAACACTTTGCCTCTGGTACAATGTCTCCTCTATAACGTAACCAGCGGCAGCTGGAATAAGGAACTGAGTCAAAACAGCGCCAATCCAACTAATTAGCCCCACAACCAACACAGTGGTTTGTGCTTTGCCACATGTCAAAACAGTTCCCTGGACTTGCCAACATCAATTACAAATTAATTCCTGGGAGTTCGTGACTGGCATCAAAGGCATGTGTGCGTGTGTGTGTGAGGGTGTGTGTGAGGGTGTGTATGTGTGTGTATGTACGAGGGTGTGTGTGTATGAATAAAATTTTGACATTGACGATCTGCCAATCGACCAACAACTGGTTTGCAACTTACCGCTAGGTAAATAGAGGCATGGGGAATAAGGAAACTTAGAGAGAGAGACACAGCACTGCCTAAGGTTTCGCCCCGCCCGGGAATCGAACCCGGGTCCTCTCGCTTGTGAGGCGAGTGCTCTACCCTACAGGAGCCCTTCATGTCCTTTCGGTGACGTCCTCATAACCAGACAATGTAGCTTGTAATACGTTTGAGTGGGGAGGAGAGGAGGGGAGGAGGGGATGAGGGAGGAATGGCTATGTGAGAGGGATACATCAGAGTTTTTAATTTCTGGCACCCCTGCTCAGCTTTGCTGCGAAAAACTGGAGCGATCGCTGGGAGCTGGTGAAGGCAAAGCCTGTGCAGTTAATGCTAAAAGGAAGCCATAAAAAATGATTTTGCGATAAAATGCTTGGAGTCGGAGTAATAATTAACTGCGAGGGTTAGGACTCCTGCTGTCTTGGATGCCGGTTATTATGTGGTAAGTGTCATGCCGTCAATCCTGTGGGGGGGAACGAGTGTTTTGACAGAGGCTTTCATCTATTATTTACTGTTATTTATCCTGATCTGCACTCACAAGCGCATCTCGGGTCTCTCTTCTGGTGTCTCAGTCGAAGGAGCTTCGTCCTATCCACTGGGCTCTGCTTCCACGGATGCTTTAATGAGACGTTAACCGAGGTACCGTCTGCGCCCTTACCTGAAGCGATCCTGCTGTTCGAAAGGAGAAGGGAATTTCTCCTCCTCCCCCGCCGACCCACCCCATGTTACGGCTGAAATTCCGCCAGATAAAATTGGTCGGTGGCTGTTTGTGGGACATTGCTGTGTGCAAACATTGCCGGCCAAAACACATAGTCACCACACCTTACAACAAATCCTGCGAGCTGCTATATCAAGTGGAAGGATTATTATTATTATTATTATTATGGATAATGACAATAATAAGGATGCGGGCGATCAAATATAATGGCGTGTTCCACTCCCCAGGAAGGAGTGTAGCCACCTACTGGCCACTTTACACCAGCGCAAAAGCAACTCATTGCCAGCTTTACAAATGTTGTAATAATAATCTTTGCGTTTGCTACGACGCCTCATCACGTCGGAAGGACGTCTCAAAGCGCCTCACGGGCTGTACCGTGAAATGGATCGACTGTGCATTCGGAGGCAAATGGCGGAGCCCAATCGCGCGCAGCAACGCCCCACGAACGGCCACGAATCGAATGACCAATTTTACGTGGGGGGGGGATTGTCGGCCAGCTCCCTTCTCTTTTCGAATAGCGCCGCGGGATCTTTAACGTCCAATTGAGTAGGCAGACGGGACATCGGTTTTAACGTCTCTGGCCATCCACCTCTGGCCATGCAACACCACCCACCCACCCCCCCACCCACCCAGCCCAGCGCTGTCCTAGAGCGTGACCTTAGACAATGTGATTCCATCGTCCCGACGTGGGGGCTTGAACCCACCACCTTCCGACTCAGAGGCGAGAGAGAGACACAGCACTACCGACTTGTTGCGGTCTTGAACCCCACCCCCTGATTGTCTTGATAGAAGGGGGTGGAGGAACGGAGGTCTCTGACTGTCCTCTCCGTCTTTCGCAGGGCTTCTCGGATCTGATGCTGGACAAGTTCATGGAGACGGGGGTGAACGTCACCGGTTTCCAGCTGGTGAACTACGAGGACCCGATGGTGCAGAAGTTCATGCAGAGGTGGACGAAGCTGGATCAGCGGGAATACCCGGGAACCGCTGCCAGCACATTGAAGGTAGCCTTTGCGCGTTCCCAAAACTGTTCAAACATCTAAAAAAAAGCAACCCACACGGGAGCAGGTCAGGCCTTAAAAATAGCGAACCTAGGATATTTTAATCTGTCCCACTAACGCTTGCAAGACCTACTTTAAGTAGCATGATCGGAAGCTCTCTCTCTCTCTCTCTCTCTCTCTCTGGCTGCCTGGGACCTGTGGGCTACAAATAAGTCACGCTTGTTGCCACAACTCTCGGTCGTTCAACACTTTTTCTGGTCGTGGTTATTGGTTGTAAGTTTGACGCTGTGGCAAAGCGTAGCTCCTGAACGAAACCAGTTGTTTTTCAAAGTCGCCTCGATGCTTTTTTGTTTAATGGGACAAAAATTTTTAAAAATGAAGGCAAATGGGTCATTTTCAACAGATGTCTTGAACATCTGCGAATCCGCTGCCCAATCCGTGGACAGGTGCGTCAGCCTGGCTCGGTCGGTAGGGCTCTCGCCTCTGTGACAGAAGGCTGCGGGTTCAAGCCCACCCGCATCGGGGGTTTACGCTCGCAGTCCCGGCTGTCGTTCTTCTCGTACAGCTTCGAATCGAAAAGAGGCTTAATAAATTATAAACACGCATAAAATACCACAAGGTACTGTGAACAAAAGAGGAGCAAGTTCTTTCTCATGTAAAATGAATCAATAGGCACAATTAGGCTCTTTGTTGGAGCACAAGTAAGGTGCTTATAATGTGAAATTTGTAACCTACAGACCCAGTTCTGGGTTACATGGCGTGACAATAGTCAATGGTTTACTTCAGACAAACTGATGATTCCCTTTACATGCCCTCTGTCGATATCTTGACGGGGTTATAAAGCTTACTTTTTGTGATGTAGACTGCAATGAGGCTTGGCTTTATTTATAATCCTTCCATTTGATATAGCAGCTTTCACATCAGGAGGACATCACGGGATGCACTGTGAAGTGTAGTGATTGTGTATGTTGCAGCAAACACTGCGGCCAATTTGCACACAGCAAAATCCCACAAACAGTCATGAAGCGTGTGACCAATTTTAGCTGGGAGATTGTTAGCCAGGACACCCGGGAGCAACTCCCGTTTCAAATAGCGTCGTGGGAGCTTAAACATCCACACGGACAGGCAGAAGAGAGCTCGATTTAATGCCTCTTCCGAAAGACGGCACCTCCAACAATGCATCGCTCCCCCCAGCGCCGCCTTGAAGTGTCAGTCAGTCTGCACTGTGCGTGAGTTCAAAGTTCCCGACATGGGGGCTCGAAAACCCACAACCCTCCGACTCGGAGGCGAGAGTGCTACCGACTGAGCCAGGCTGACTTTCACGCTCCGTCCACCGATACACGCAGCTTCGAGGTAAATCATAAACGACTATCAAACAAGGCGAGAATTTTTTTTGCCAAGAAAAAAGAGTTTGGACCGGACAAAATTGATATGTTCGGCATTTTTGATTATGGTACAGGACAGAACAGCCCCAGAGACAGTCTGACAGAACAATTTAACACATCTTGTGTCAACTCCTTGCTCTGTGGGTACTCATGCATTTTTAAGCGAGCAAAGAATCGGGTGTAAAATTAAATAGCTCATTTTGGCACGACTTCAAAAAAGGACGGCACCAAAGGACTTGCGTCCACTTTACTTCCATCTGGTTTCAGCAGAGAGAGAGAGACAGAAAGAGACAGAGACAGAGAGAGAGAGAGAGAGAGAGACGTGCAAGAGAAGTGACTTTAGGAACAAGTTGACGGTCGCACAGGTCGCCGATGCGCAAATTATGGAGGATTCGCTGAGAGCTCAAAGGCAGCAATTCCTCAGGCGCCTGCAAATAGGCGCTCATTAATAAGGCACAAAAACAGTCAATATGTTCTTTGTCAGCGAAATGATTTGAAACCCGGTACAGTTATTAAGCAATTCATCACTCTCTTGCAGTAACGCTCGTTCGTACATGCGAGAATCTACGTAGTGTAGTTATTGAATTAGAAACGCTTTGGGCTTGTATTCATGCCCATTCTATCTCATCTGTCCACCACCCTACTGTTCTACCCTCACAGCGTCAGGCTGTTTTTCTTTAAATTGTCCTCAGCCACCCACCCGGCAACTCTGTTCCAGTCTACGCTGTAGTAGTTGGTTGGTCCACCCGCACACGCATGGAGGGACGTGTTCTTTAGAGCTCCACTGTGAGGTCCACGAAATGGAATAATCCTCTCGTTCCGTCTAACAGAATCTCCCTTTTCGTGTCCCTCGATAAATGCACAGACGATTTTGAACGCTGTGCCTCACGTATAATGGACGTCTGTTGACAACGACGAGAACAACAACAACAGCAACAACAACAACAACAACAACAACAACAACAACAACAGCTTGCCCTTAACTCTGCGCCGCATCGCAAAATAGTCCGCACGGAGAGCGGGAGCCCAGGCAGGGTGGGAGACGGCGAGGAAGAGAAAGGAGAGGGGGGGGTGGACGAAGACACAATCGCAGGGAGAAAGCTTGAGAGGGAGGGTGCATGGCAGGATGGTTGGGGGGTGCAGAGGCGAGGGGGAGAAATTTAGGGAGAGAGGAAAATGGAAAGAGGGGAGGATTGACATTTTCTGTGGGCCAGTGTAACAGAGAATGAAACAATTGCCCAAGACAAAAATCGGACGATGCCAAAGATTCTTCCATCACCTCTTCCCATCCCTCACACTGAAATGAATTCTTTATGAATGGAGGATAACATCAAGGGATGAGCGTAAATAATTAAACACAGAACATAAGGTTGACTTATAGGAATGGCTGGATGGTTGAAACTATTTCAGGAAAATAAGGAATGAGGGGACGGTAAATTGAGAGATCCTTGAACTCGGGTTAAAATTGCAATAGGCATTTTGGGACGTGCGAGAGATTCTGCAATTACAGATGCAAGCAGAGCCTAAGTGAGAGAGAGAGGCTAACTGGTAAAAAGCCTTCAATTAACTCCCCACATCTGCATTCAACATAGAGGATGTTTTGCAGCGCTCCTCCAACTCGGAGGAGCAATCAGTCAAACATGGAACTGAGATCGAGGCAGCAGTGAAAACAGGAGATGTTTCTGATTAATTAACGCCGTAAATGATTCATAGAGTGATACGTAAAATGAGCTTTTCAGCGGGGGATAGTCAAGAAAAACAGAGGCAGATTGTGAGCTACTGAAATACAAAGTCTGCGCAAGTATTAAATAATAATAATAATCCTTGCATTTGATAGAGCACCTTATCGCGTCATTTGAGACGTCTCAAAGCGCCCTCCCATCTCACCACCCAGCCAGCCAGTAGCATACTAAGAGAAAAAGAGAAGAAAAAGCCCTGGAAAGAAATCACTTAAGTTTAAAGAGACGAACTACAATGGAAAATTTGTTCCATGCAAAAAAAAAAGCACCATTGCACCAAACTCTAAGCCGCTTACAATATAACCTGTCAGTCATTCACAGCTTCTCTCCGGCTTTTACAAAAGGGCGGACAAAATGACATGTAAATCAAGGAGGCTGAGACGGCTGAAAAAGGGACTGTCAGGTTTTTTAGTTATATTGTTCGACGTGATTCCACAATTTATAAGATTTTGAGTAAAACGAGCAGCTCAGAGGATTACATTGAGCAGACGTGCTTAGTACTGGTGTCAGCGAACAAACACAGGGAATGACAAGGGAAGAAAAGTGAAACTTCACAGAGGGAAGTTCCGCTTTATTGTAAAATAGCAGCAATTTTTAGTGAAAGCAAACTAAGAAAGGAGATGTGACCGAATGAAAGAGCTTGTATTTTGCTTCCCCTCAATGCATCTCAAAGGGCTTTGCAAATCCCCGAACAAGCCATAATGTGACTAGTTAATTTATCTGGAGGATTGTTGGCCCAGAGACCAGAAGAAAGCAGACGGGATTTCGGTTAATGTCTCGGCTGAGTGACACCCCCCCTCCACCCCCACCCCCACCCCCACACACACAGCACATTCGCCCACAAAATGTACAGTCAATTCACTTTACAGTATATTCTGTGAAGCGCTTTGAGGTGTCTCGAAGGCATGATAAGGCGTTGTATCAAATGTGCGGATTATTTGTGACTATTATTTATCGGTGGAACGCCAGCCTAGTCTGCAAGTTTCTGTCCTGACGTGGACCTTGAAATTCAGAATGGGAAGAATTAAGAAGCCTCATTTTGTTTTTACTCGGAGGGTTTTTAGAGCATGGAACTGTTTTGTCACAAGTGGCAGTTGCAGTTAACAGCATAGCCGCATTTGAAAAGAGTGTTTAAAGATAAAACAATATAAAATAATTAGGATCAGAAAATGGAACACCCACAAAGGCTCGATTGGCTGAATGGCCTCCTTCTGTACTGAAAATTGGATGACTCTTTGATTCAGAACGTGTTAAGATTCCACAGTAAAAAGCTGTTGACAACCCAAACTCCCCCCCACCCCCACCCCCCCCGCACCATACAATTTGTTTAATTGTATTTAAACCCATGTTGAGCAGACTATTAATTGGAACATTCTTCAAAGGTAACTGATGAAGATTTGGCTCGAAAGGACTCGAGAAAGCAATTTGATGATATCAGCAGCGGGAACAGGTTGAAAGTAGCCGTGCCTCTTTGAAGTAGTTTAAAATAACATGGATTAGATATGGATTGAAATCCTTATTTCACATCTTTGTACTTTATTGGGGTCGACTGTTAGTATTTTGTGTAATAAAAGTGTTTCAGCACAGCTCGATGTGCGTGAGTAAGCCCGGCTCAGTGTGTCTCAGCCCGGCTCAGTGTGTCTCAGCCCGGCTCAGTGTGTCTCAGCCCGGCTCAGTGTGTCTCAGCCCGGCTCAGTGTGTGTCAGCCCGGCTCAGTGTGTCTCAGCCCGGCTCAGTGTGTGTCAGCCCGGCTCAGTGTGTGTCAGCCCGGCTCAGTGTTTGTCAGCCTGGCTCAGTTTGTCTCAGCCCGGCTCAGTTTGTCTCAGCCCGGCTCAGTGTTTGTCAGCCCGGCTCAGTTTGTCTCAGCCTGGCTCAGTGTGTGTCAGGCTAGCTTAGTGTAAAGTGTGGTGACTGTGCGTATTTTGTGGGCGAACGGGGCAGCCAATTTGCACTCAGCAATGTCCCATAAACAGCCCCAAAGCGAGGGGTCAGTTTTATCCGGGAGAATTGTTGAAAATCACCAGACGCACCCAACCTCCTTTATAAACACCCGAAATGAGTTGGCACAGACAATGGCTGCACACAGGTCATGTATTATTTTCCCAAATTAATTCTTGGCAGGCACAGCCTTGTTGGCTAATTGCTAGCAATTAAACCCCAAAAAACAGTAATGTGCCACAAAACCTTCCTGAGTCAGATAGACCTGCATTATGCTGGGAGCAGCAGGAGTCAGCCCCTATCTAAACTCTCCCTCCCCTTCAGCTCGTTCCGAAAGATCAGAGTCACCTCCTTTCAACGCCTGTCCCCTGATTGTCAAATGGCTCCATTGGCGGCTGAAAATGCACCCACAGCAAATGCCCAATTTAACTGGAGGATTTGATGGGCAGAAATCAGCCGAGACTGTGGGTCCTTGACATGGGGCGGGTGGGGGGCTTGAATCTACAACCTTCTTGACCTAGAGGCCAGAATGCTACCAACTGAGCCAGGCTGACACCTAAAATCTCTTTGCTTGTTCCTCGGGTCAACATCCATCCACGAGCTCTGCCGGCTCCCCACCTTGCTGGTGTTTTCGAGCCATCCGTCCTATGCGAAATGCACAGTATAAGCGCAAGTTGCTGTTCCTGTATTTGGGGTCTGGAGCTGAGGGCAACAGCTGATTGGAATCATTAACATCAGCTCCGATAGCTGTCCGGATGCGAGGCAGTAACTTGGAACAAAATTAACAAACTCTGTCTCTGTATCACCGTGATTCACTGGGAAGGGTTATTAACTCGGTTAAAAAATTCACAAAAGACCTCGCCTCAGCCTGTTTAAATATGCAAAGGCTTGTCTTACCGTCCACACTGTACAGCCACTTCAATGAGATTTGCCGATATCTTGTGACATAGGAGTAGGGGGAACCAGGCAGTAGTTTAAGAAGGTGTTGATGAGATGAATGTGCAACATCTGATGTGCATATTTAATCTCCGACTTCAAAGCAGGCAGTAATGAGCTGTAAAAAGGTGACAGCCCTTCAGTAAACAGATGTAACAGTGCTGCTCAATAGTCAAACAAATCAGGGAATTAACGGTTCTCAAAGGATGTCAAAGCTACAACCTCAGCACGACTTTAATTGTTGTCATATTTTATTATCCCACCTATTGTTTCGTCTGTCTTTTCCTTTTGGTCAGCCTGACATTTGCCGAAACCCATCACCGTGCTTTAAGAAACAGGGGTTAGGAGAGAAAGTGTTAGGGCTGAGGGGGAGTGAGGGAAAAAGTGCCGGATTGAAAGATAGAGTGCGGAGAGTGGGGCTGTGCGAGAGAGAGCGTGTGAGAGGGAAGGGGGAAATGAGAAAGGGAGCATTTGGGAGGAGGTGGGGGTGGGGGGTGGATCAAGAAAGAGAGTGCAGGAAAAGGGGGAGTGAGAAAAAGAACAGGGGGTTGGGATGAGAAGTGCGATTATCTGGCGAGAGAGGTGGAATGAGTGCCAGAGAGAGAATCGCATGGGGACGTCTCGATTTGTATTGGTAGCGCTGGGTTTCTGAATCGCACCGACTGCCAAGTACAACAATAATAATCCTTGCATTTGTTATAGCGCCTTATCAGGTCTTCGAGATGTCTCAAAGCGCTTCACAGAGTGTACCATAAAGCGAACTGTATATTTTGCGGGCAGGACAATAGTTTATAACCAGGGCTGATTGCCTGCTGCGTATTTTAAGTGGCGGTTGATATAAAACATTATTTTCCGTTCGATCTAGTTCACTGCTGCCTTGACATACGACGGGATCTTTGTCATCGCGGAAGCTTTCCGCTACCTCCGGAAACAACGGATTGACATCTCCCGAAGAGTCACCACCGGAGACTGTTTAGCCAACCCCGCAGTGCCCTGGAGTCAAGGCATTGACATAGAACGGGCCCTGAAACAGGTCAGGAGTGGCTTGGTCGCTGGACGTGATCTGACAATAAACGGTTCGCAAGTAATCTGTGTGGGTGTAGCTGTGGTTAGAATGTAAAACTCGCTGTATGTAATGTATGAATGTAAAACCCACCCCCACCCCCCTCGACACACACACACATATACACACGCACACATATTTCCAAGGATTATGTTAAGGTTGTTTCCAAGTAACCCCTCAAAGCAATGTGTTGCTCTGGAGATAAGGACTGGCATTGAGAGGCTTTATGTCCACATTCCAGTAAATATTTCCGGTCATGAATATTTAGGCATTTCCACTGACCTCCTTTTAGTGTTAGTTTTAGCGCGTGGGTATGTGTGTGGCAAACTTGATTTGCATCGGTCCTCTTAAAATACAAAGGTGGTATTTCACCGTTAATAGATCATTTCTGTTTCCTTATTCAATACAGAACTGATGCGCAAATGCTCTTAGACTCAGTGTAAACATTTCCAAGAGTTATTCAGTTCTCTCTTCGAACGGAGCCGGGAGATCTTTGAAATCCACCTGAGCAGGTGCGGTCAGGGAATTGCTTTAACCTCTCACCCGAAGGACGGCACCTCTAATCACGCAATGCTCTCCCAGCCCTGCGTTGGAGTGTCAGCCTAGACTGTACGAGTTCCAAGACCCAACGTGGGGCTTGAACCACCACACAACTCCCCAATTTTGTGCACATCAGTGTCCCGCGATGGGAATGACCAATTTTATCTGGGGGATTAGTTGTTCTCCGGGACAACCAGGAGAAACTCCCTTCACTGAGATCTTTAACGTTCAAGGCAGTCGGGGGCCTTGTCTCAATGCAGCCTCCCCTCAACACAGTAAAGGAGATCTGTACCCACTCTTTGGAACTGCATCCCACAGTCCCTCCGCCTCACCCCCTCCCTTCCCACCTTTAAGACTTTTCTTTTCGACCATGCTTTTTATTCTCCCCCCCCTACCCCCACGCTCCCATTTGACTCTGAGATTTTTGGGGCTGTTTCAAACACCAGATGCTTTCAGATACCAGAACTGTTAATCCATTAACTACTCATCTAAATGCATCGTATCTTTTGCCAGAAGTACATCCCAGTGTAAATAGCGAGTGGCTTGCCTCTCCCGTTGGCTGTTAAGCTGCTCTAAAATCGCCCTATTAGCATAAATAAAACATAATTTCAAATGAATTACTTTTTCACAGAGCTTCTAAAAGTATCTTACTGTCATGAATAAAATATAACTTCGAACAAAATTACCTTTTCATCATATTCCTTCACCTGATTTTACTGGTGACTAGAGACGGCATAACTGAAAGCGTATTGCTTAACATTAAGCCATGTTATCAGGAGTTAGTGGTTACCGTGTAGTACTAAGACTCGTACTGAATAGATCTGGCTTAAATGATTAAGTGTACGGAAAATAGAAGAGAGGAGATCCTTTGAATAGCTAACAGAAATGCCCCGAGGCACGTTAATTAATAATAATAATCCTTACAATTGGCAATAGAGCCAGGAGGATTTACTGTGAAATGCAATGACTGCGTGTTTTGTCGGCAAACGCGGCAGTCAATTTGCGAGCAGCAATATCCCACAAACATCCATGGAGCCGGTGACTCGTTTTATTTGCGGGGTGGGCGGGGGGGGGGGGGGGGAGCGGGGAGGGGATTGTAATCACGCTAACGTTTATATTTCTCTCCCCAAGGTGCGAGGCCAGGGACTGACTGGAAACTTGCAATTTGACAACTACGGCCGACGGACAAACTACACCATCGACGTTTACGAGCTGAGACCGACTGGGCCGCGGAAGGTAAGTTAGAACTAAGCCTCTCGTTAAGTTATCCACAGACCCCGTATCACTTAACCCTGGTTGTAAAACAATGAGTGCCCTCTCCCGCTTGAAGAGCATTACCATTGGAAAGACCTTAAAAAAAAGGGTTCGAGGTGAACAGTTTTTCAGGTGGTTGCAAACCAACTGGATGCCAGGCAAGTGGCCTTGCATAAAATCTCACGAAATTGTGTTTGCCCCCTCCCCTCGCCTCTGCAGCCCGCGGCTTGTGAACTAATTGTAACAGCTTTGCCTCTTAGGCTGCGACCTTGGTTCCTTTAGTCATCAGGACATTAGTGTCAAGCTAATTAATTAGTCTCTTGGAACAAGTGAGCAACCCTTTGTGACAACCTACCCTGCGAATATTCTGCCTAATTGCCACTTGCAAACCCAGAAGAGGTGCTTTGACAAGACATGTGGGGTGGGGGTCCACTTCTCTCCTCCTCCCCGCCCTGGCACAAACACAAAGCAAAGTCTAATTATAATAATATTAAGAATCCTTGCATTTGATGCTGCCGTGGGCAATTGGCTGCCGCGCTTCGCCCACAAAATATACAGTCGATTCACTTTGCAGTGTGTTCTGTGAAGCGCTTTGAGACGTCTCGAAGACGCGACAAGGCGCTGGATCAAACGCAAGGCTTATGGTTACCGTTTGTAACTTTTTAATGCCTGAGATAAAGAAGGCTCTTGTGTACCGCAAAGGTTCCAGACATCCAAGCAAGGAGGCTGAGAAAGCAAATGGGGAATAAAACTGTTCGCCGACTTACAAATGACATTTCCAGCGGGTATTAAACTGAGTTCAGTTTCGCTTTGGTGTGATTTTACAACAATTCACTTTGATGGTTCACAGACTTCAGCCTGGCCCTCTATTAACACAGAGGGAATGAGGTTGGGAACGGGGGGGGGAAAAACAAGTGCGTAGGATTGCTTACTGTTTGCATTGTGATGGCTAAGTACTACGGATTTTTTTCCCGAGACAGGCAGCTCAACCATTTTGATAAGCTTTTCGCTCGCTTTTGTAATCGGGGACAAAGGGAAGTCAGCGAAAACGGTGCCTCCTTTGTTACGGTTCTTGTTATTGATAATAACGTCGTCACTGCATCGGAGCGTGAACCAGATTTCCATCACCCTCTCTATTCATTGTGGTTTGGACTAATCACCAACCTGTCCTTCGCACTAAAGTTTTGCACGGGGGCCCCCTTCAGCCCATTTGATCGAAACCACCCGCCTCACTATCTTCCCGTCCACCCTTTCCCCGGCTCAGGTCCCTCGTTAAGAAATCCCGTCAAGAAATCTCGCCAGCACGACCCTTGGACCGTGGGCCACGACCGCCTTCTCTCTGTCACAAGACTTCACAAGATGGTCGCTCAATCCACGGCTGTTCGTGGGACGCCGCTGGGCGCAGTTAGCTGTCGCCTTCCGCCCGCCCAATACACAGTCGGTTCACTTCACGGTGTTCCCCGTGAAGCGCTTTGAGACGTCTCGACGACGTGATAAGCCGCTCTATCATTATTGCAGGATTGTTATTGTTATATCATTAAGGCCTCGCACGATTTCAGAGGCAGGAGAGGAGAGTACGAGGCAGGCGAGGGTGCTTGGTTTAAAGCGATGCAGCCATGCGACTCATTCCAACCAGCAACGTGCATCTTCTGAAGCCTGCTGTAAAATCCAGGGGCTGTCAGGCTGATTAGGTGCACGGCTCTTAACCCGGAACGACGATGTTGTTTCTCTCCCGTTTAGAAAGCCGTGGTAATAATTTTACTGCTTCTGTAACTCGACCAGCGAGAGTACAACCTCCCCCTCCCACTACCCAAGCACTCCCCCTCCCCACCCCCCACCCCCCAAACGAAATACGACTGTAGGAGAAACCCGAGAGAAGACGCCACTGGACTTTAGTCTTTGTCTTAAATACAGAACGGATCAGAGGAGCCGGCTGCAGATAACAACAGTGACGTTCTGACGCCGTTCTGGTGAATAATTCTCGCCAGTTATCCTTACTAACACATCTGCTCACATTTTGTGCGGTCAGCTCAGAGCTCTTCAGTACGGGCTTGCTCTACGGAGGATGTTTTGCCCAAGTGATGTCCGTTTGTCCACACGCCAGTGTCTGCACTGGGTGAACCTGAAGGGTCACTGATGGAGAAGGGGGGGTTTAGTAGAGGCAGCTCACTGGACCGTGTCTGTTTGCCCTGAAGGCTGGGGGATTTCTCGCTTCTGTGAGCCTTTCCCACGAGAGGAACCTGAAGTGACGAGCTCAAAAATCTGGTTTGGGTTTCAGATCGGTTACTGGAACGAGTACGAGAAATTGGTGTCTACGGTCGAAGTGCAACCGACCAATGAGTCCACATCGATGGAAAACCGAACGATAGTCGTCACCACTATCATGGTAAGCGAAAATCGTACCTTCCTGACACTGACTTTCAAACAGAAATCTGCGCTGTGTTTTTCATCTTGTGTGCGTCTCCCTCTCTAACCTTTGCCCCCAAATTATTTTTGCAGAGAGCTACACACTAAAAGGAATTTCACTGACTGACTTGAGAAGAACTTAGACTTAATTATAAGATTTAAGCTGATTGTCAAAACAAAACACAATAGTGCGGTACTGGCGGAGATATCTGTTCTCTTCTCTAAGCAGTTGCACCTCAATTATTTATTACCTCCACCCAAAAAAAAAGGGGTGCAGAGGTACTTTAATTGGCTTTCCGTTCTGACTGACTGTCTGTCTGTCTATCTGTCTGTCTGTCTGTTTGCTGTCTGTCTGTCTATCTGTCTGTCTATCTGCCTGCCTGGCTGCCTGCCTATCTACATGCCTGTCTGTCCGCTTAGGAACATTAGTAACTTGAGAAATCTTTGGCAGATTTCAACGTACCTGAACTTGGCACGTAGACTCAAGTGGTTCTTAGCTCAAGCGAGCGAGTTCGATGCTGGGATAGGTCCAACATTGTAAAAAATCTCACTTTACTGCATGGTGACCTACTTCCGATTTGTGCAACCCAATTTACTGCGATGAACACTGTGTAAGAAAAAAAATATATACCTCGGGATTTTCAGTTTACCAAACGGGTAACAACTTCGGATCTGCCGGAAGCCGTTGTTTATGAAGGTGTTATCCCACAAAAGCTTTGGCAGGATTTTTAAGAAGCCGATAGAATGCGTTCCAGACTTTGGGTCCAACTTGCGGGGTTTGTTGACGGGTTTCCCCGCTGAGAGAACCCCCTCAGAATTGTGTTTTGACCAAACGCGAGATAACGTGAATTGCCGTGAGCTGCTGCCAGCTCTGGAGAAGGAGAGTGCTACTTTCGTGGGACTCAAATTACTTATTTAGTAATGCTGTTAGGAAACAGCGCAATTCAACCCCCATCCACATCAGAACCATTATTGCGGAGAGGGAGCTCTGATTTCTCACAATTTCCCCCCACTCACCCATTTAGTTTATCATCTCTTCCTCCACAGATATTACATTATTTATTACTATAAGTACTGGATTGTTAATGTTAAGGTGAACCCAAACCATCTCCAACCAATTACCATTGAGCACAATGATGTAAACGTGACAACTTTCAGTCACATTCTTACTGCTGTGTTCAGAAGATACATTTGGGTGTCTGGAAGGTCCTATATTTTTTTTAACTCTTACTTTTCCCCTATGATATCTTCCTGTGCGGAGGTGCGGATTGAAATAATAGCTCAAAGTAACAAAAGAAGGAAATTCACCAAACTTTCCTTCGATAACCCATGATTTGGCTCCAGAAATATCCTTTTTTTTTGCAAAGCTGAAAGCTCTCCAAAGGCGGAGTGAAGACAATTGAGGTAGAAGAAACTTTGAAGGACGCTTCCTCCACAATAAGTTTTCAGGATGATGATCTTTATATAAATGTTAAGAGAGAAAAATATGATTTTTTAAATATATAGATATATATATACTGTGAAAAACAATAAAAGCCAAGAGCAGTAATATTTGTCCTTTTTTGGTATTATTCTACTGTAATTACAAACATTTCTGTACCTTTCCCATCAACGTGGGGGCAATGCCGCAGTTAGTAATTTGGTCAGTAGTTGTTAAGTGTAACATTCGAGTCTGTAATCTACACCTATTCACTGATAAATTACACCTATTGCCATCTCTTTTATTGTCACTTTTATTCCAAGACCCAAAACTGTTCAATAAACGTCCATTCATTTTGTACACTGATATTGTCACTTTTTCTTTGCACCGAGATTTCCTACACAGTTATTGCTCACTTTGTTACCCTTCTCTTGCAGCACCTCCCCTATAACGGGGCCATGCAATTCAAGTCTCCCCATCATTGTGGAGGAAGTGGCTGCAAGGAGGGACTGACTTCTATTGCGGAGCAGTTTTATGGCTAAATGGCTCCTCCCGAGTCCTTATTTCACTGAGGAACATGTCACCCAGTAGAGAAATCCACTTGTTAGTCTTTCGCTTTGCCCGTCACTTTTACGAAGGGGGAAGTTGAAAAGTATTGTCAAAGCTTAATCCCTTTCAAGGACCGACTGGTACTTTGAAGCGAATCAGTGATCCACTCCCCTTTGGCTGCAAGTGGAATAGGTTGATCTCAGTGGTCTTCAACCTAGAACACAAAGCTATTTGCGGTCCAACATTAGCAGCAGGAAGTTCCACCTAGTCTTAGCCAATAAACTGTCTTGTCTTCAATTTGAAGATCGCGGGGTATTGTGGAAAGTTCTTAAACCGAGTCTTAATTTGGGAACCAGTTATTTTTTAAGAACTGCAGATAAACCTTGGTTCCAGGATAAGACTAGGTGAAATTTTGGGACTTAAGTTGGCAATACTTAGTGGGCTTAGTGGTGGACTGTTAGAGTAGAGGGTGCTTTACTCTGTGCCTGCTCAATGCTGTACTTAACCTTAGATCCCTTGATGTCTCGCAAGAACAACTGAAAATGTTCCTTTCCCAAACACTCATGTATCTTCATCTACTTTTAAAAAAAGTGGCTGATGGGTAGAAATTCCGTTCAGCGTTACACACTTTGCCAACAACGCTGTGCGACTAATGACGGGAGGAAAGCAGTTCTGATTTACTACACCAGTCCAAACGCCACAGTGTAAAGAGCAATCTACAGTCTTAGCAACAGGTTAAAAGGAAAGCACAATTTCAGGGCATTTGTCGGGAACCAGTTTTGGCTACTAACAGTCAAATTTCGGTACTGATTCCGTTCAGGATTACCCTATCACCAAAGGCACTATTGCGACTATAATAGTCCCACCACATCGTCAAAGGAAATGCTCGCAACACTGAACAGAATTTTTACCCGCTATGTCTCTGCAACACAATCACAAAGTAATGTAACCTTCATTGGAAGCATTAACATCCAAACTCATTTTATTGTCTTCTAATTCCAAATCATTCTTTGCCAGAAGCTCGACTTTGTGGATACCCTGTTGTCTTCGTGCAATAATCTACAGGCTTTCGAAGCCCAAGCTTGGCGTCAGCTAACCATTCCTCTTTTGACCTATGTTTCTACTATTCTTTTCAACCTCGGAGGTCTATGTCCAGTGTGTTCTGAATATATGTAAAATGTCTGTATGAGATACTTAACATTTTGTAGACCATGAGAGATGATACCTTAGACATGCCAGCGGCATGGGGTTGCTACTGTTGGCTGTTATACTTGACCAGCGCTAGGCGCAAGAAAAGCAACCAAGCATTTGTGCTGTCTGATTTCATCTGCTGTCACTGTCATGTGGATGTAGGATAAGCGCAGGAATAACCCGTGCCGTTGAAAAGCTCGCAGACGCCCACTCTTTAGGTACGTGTGCCACAAATGACGAAACGTTATTTAGGCAAGTTGCCAGAGAGTAAATTAGACCTCTACAGTGGTCTCTTAACTTCAGGAGAGGGCTGTAAATTGGAAATAAAAATTAACCGCAAAAAAATTTGACATTAGTTGTCAAAACATGTATCCATATCATCTTATATCAAAAAAAGCTTCAAGCACCTGACATTTAGCACTCAACTTCCATTCAATTCAGTTACTTCAATTATTCAATTATTCTGTGTTCCTGAGGAAATTGGATTTGTGTGAATTTTAATCGACATTATAAAACTTTTATATTCTGGGATCAGAGGTTGAAATTCATAATAAATATGTATCATCAATAAAACTACTGAACGCTTAATTTGTCAGCAAATAATTTCCTTCCTAGCAAATTCAGTTCTGGACATGCGTGTTCCTTCGTGGGTGTCGCTTTTGTTTCTATCTACAGGATTTGTGGAGCAGATCTACAGACTGCCTTAGCAGGTCCACAAAAGTAGGAGGTCAGGGATGGGTGAAGTTGGGAGGTTAAGGCTAGATACACATTCCGCACCTTTACTTGATGTACCAGTGAAGGGTGACGTTCAAAAACTCACCATCAGTAAACTGAGATGGTTTAAAGGAGTTGAGAGGCCTCCCGTCATCAGCCATGTTCTTGGAAGGAGCCGACTCAATGAGCTGAAAGGTCTTTTCTTATCTCACGTTTCCTTATGTTCTCCTGTATACGTTTTAAAGGCAGGGGTTGGAGGACAGTTAGAACTTGGTTCACAAATTTATAATCGTTTCTGCATTTGTCTCTTTTCATCATCATTTAAGGCAAAATTGTAAGACGGAAAAACTTCATCCTCATTAATATCCTATCCAAAATTCAGCGCGTAGACAGTTTAACAGCGACTGTTGAAAGGCAGAAGGTGTGATGTGCTGTGAAGGGTGTGAAATTTGTATTGTTAGCAAAGTGGGATAATCTTGTCATTTGACCTCTAATCGCTTGGCACAATGTATGAACGTGTATGATCCACTTATTCATGTTTTTGTTGTTGCAGGAATCGCCATATGTAATGCTGAAGAAAAATTTTGAACAGTTTGATGCAAATGATAGATATGAAGGCTATTGTGTGGATTTAGCCTTTGAAATAGCCAAGCATGTTGGCATTAATTATAAACTCTCTGTTGTCCCCGACGGTAAATACGGAGCTAGGGACCCTGACACAAAAATCTGGAATGGAATGGTGGGTGAACTAGTATATGGGGTAAGTATCAGTCGGAGAGTACATAGAAAGTGCTTGCTTATCACATAGAAATTAGACTGACTATCGGATCTGTTTAATAAAAATATCATCCATGAATGCGTCTAGTCTCAGAGATCGAACGATGCGACTGACAATAATTGAAGGCTTCATTGGTTTATTTGGGCGGGTGGAGGTGGGGGGTGGCGGGGAGGGAGGGAGGGAGGTGGCTTAACTGGCCTTTGAAATGAATGCAATGATACCACTCCGCCTAACTATTTATTTATCCGGTGGTCCAAACGAGGATGGACTGGTTATTCGCTAACCTAAAATGGTGAATTTTATCAATTATTGCCGTTAACTTGTTGCTTTGAGCCCAAAGCCTGCCACTGTCACCGAAAGCGAATAATTAGAATCTTTTCAATCAAGTACCTTCACATTAATTTCTTCTCCCTTACCCTCCACCCACCCACCTCATAATGTCACAAGTGGAAGCCACACATGCTAATCTAACTTCGCATTAACATGACTAACGAAAATCCTCTCACACTGAACAATGCCTTTAATCTGCACCCTTTGACCGTCGATGAGTAAGAAACTGGGCGTGTTTTATTCACCATTATTAAGGGAAAACAATTAGGGTAGCTTGCAGTTGGCAATCAGTGCAAGGTCAAGTATTTTCATTCTATGCTGTTTGTTTGTTTGTGCTCCTTGCTATAAGTTTGCCATTTATTTAGCGCAGTTCTGTTACCCAGGTATGCAATGATCCGCTTTTGTTTAAAAACAAGAAGCTGATGCAGACCAGAGATGGGAATGTCCCCGGCAATCACACGTCAGTCAACCACAGCCTCGTCTAATGGTCAATCTATCATCTGTGACAAGCTCCGTTTCCCAGCCACCAGCCCGCTGTTTATTTTGCCTCCGCGTGTGAGCCATTTGTTATGCAGAGAATAATGAAAGAAGAGCTTTGCAGAAACCACTCTGCTTCCAACAGCGCAGACTGTGTTTAACTACATTATTATTGTAATGGAATCGTGTGGCACGGGAGGGGGGCTGGGGTGGAATACATTTTGCAGCAAAAACATCACAAGAGGTGGATTCCTTCAAACAGAAACTGCACCGCAATTGCAGTGCAATCGAAAATACCACCGAGGTGGAGGAAAGATAATAGGGTTCAATCTAGTCAGCGACTGTGGATTGCAGATCTAAGCATAACAGCTTGTTCATTGCGACAAACCTGTGTTGAATTCTTCACACTGTCTATTACACATTTACTACAATAACAAACATTATGATTTTGCTTTGTTTCTTGCATTATACGTGTATATATTGCATTTCCTGCGAGTGCCTGAGTGCCATTTGCAGTAAATACTATCAAAGATCCCCCCCACCCCACTGGTCCTCTATCCACTTCCTTAATATGTATGGCATATAACCTTCTTGCACGACATGCTCCAGGAAGTGTAGGCAATTGACAGCACGTTCCACTGGTGAGCCCACCAACACTTGAGCGCACTTGAGTTGCCCAGTGACCACTCCACGTCGTGGCCAAGGTTAGGGGCGTAGGAACAGGAGAAACCCGTTCCACCTCCCTCACCAGTTTATTAGATCACCGCAAATCTTTCAACCCCGTTTCCCTGCTTTCCCTCCGCGCCAATATTGATCCCCCATTGAAGAGAGGTGGTGGCAAGTGCCCACTACATGTCCCTTCAGTGAATCCATTGTCACGTGTTGAAGCCACAGCTTCGCATCATGGATACCCGTTTCCCGTAACACGCGAGGAGCTTTTTATTCTCGTGATGGACCGCACCTCTCGAGCGAGCTCAGTCAGTTAGTGGATTAATCGCCTTGTTACTCACTATTGTTTCTGTTAAGAACGGGCACCTTGCTTCTGACCGATTTGGACTAACGAGCCTTCTCCCCGTTTACAGAGAGCTGACATTGCCGTGGCACCTCTCACCATAACCTTGGTGCGTGAAGAGATGATCGACTTCTCCAAACCCTTCATGAGCCTGGGTATCTCGATCATGATCAAGAAGCCTCAGAAGTCCAAACCGGGAGTGTTCTCCTTTCTGGATCCGTTGGCCTACGAGATTTGGATGTGCATCGTTTTCGCCTACATCGGAGTCAGTGTAGTGCTTTTCCTGGTCAGCAGGTTCAGCCCTTACGAATGGCATATGGAGGACAACGAAGAAGGACGTGACCCCCAAAATACTGAGCCACCTAATGAGTTTGGGATATTTAATAGTCTCTGGTTTTCTCTGGGTGCCTTTATGCAGCAAGGATGCGATATTTCGCCAAGGTTTGTCATTATCACATTACCTTTGTGCATTTTATGGTCCAACACTGATGCCATGGTGCATATATGTTACTTTCTTTTCCACCTTTTCTTTTCATCTCTCCCCCTCTACTCCCTCTAACTCCCCCACCCCCACCCCCTCCCGATTTTATTTTAATATTTCATCTCAGCACGGTAAGATCCACACCCATCCAATCACCGCTGTACCACACCGCTGGCAGATGTGAATGGCACAGTCTCAGTGCCGTTCACACAACTATCTGAATAACTTATATACACCATGCCGAGACCGTAAAATGCATAAGGTCTGTCTGTCTCCAGCACCCTTGGAGGGCTACCGTGTTTTTGCTGCATATCGCATTTTACGGTCACTAGTTTGGTGTATATAACACACTCATGTTTACTAATTACTGAGGGTTTCCATTCCGAATGGAAAACCTGAGAGAGAGCAAAAAAACATGCGGCAATACCATTAAGGAGCACCTCCAAGCAGGTCTTGGCTTCTTTTGAGTTTGCTTGAATTAAACCATCGTCTCTAACTTACTTCCATTCTTCAACTAGCTGTTCCATCTTTATCATCACATTTACACGTTGCAGTATCCCGTATTGCAGACCTTCATGGTGCATTGTTTCAGAGGGAAAGTCTTATCGAGTCTGGTCGTATTATCGGGTTAAGGATAAGCTCTGATATTTTGTTTTAGCGCACAAAGTGAAGTATTCTTTATTTTCTTCTCCTGACCAAGGAATGATCCGCGTTCCCTCGCTTTTGCTGTCGTTTTTTTTAATGTATATGTATCAGGTCACCGAGCAATTTATTTTTTATGTGTACATGTCACCGATCAATTAACAGCGGCATAGCTGTCAGAAACGCCGACCCAGTCAATCATTCAGTCAGTCAATCAGTCGGCCTAACAGAAGCAAATGGCAATCTCCCTGATGGAGAAGACGATTGATGTCATGGAAGGGATAAAGAACAGCGAGCAAACATTATCTAGCTTTTGCAGTGAGCAAAATATGGATTTTAAAAAGAAAAACCTTCATAAATAATGCAGCGAGCTAAGTTACACGTGTCGCAGAAGTATGGTGCTTTATGTGTGGTGACTGTAACTAGTGTATACAACCTTTTGAATTTTTGATCAAATGGGTTTTTCTCCCTTGAACATTGCGAGCTGCCAATTATCCTTAAACAGCTGAAAATACAGTAGCTCCTTCTTGGTTGTAGTAGCTTAAGAGCACAAGCGAGAGCAGTTGCCACAAGTCCATTTTTTTTGTTAAAAAAGGCTCACAGAAACTGGAATCACGTGCCGAAGCAGATTATCCCCAAGATTGTTACGTGTGTGTGCCTGGAAGCTAGAGGGATGTCCTGAGATAGTCGGCGGTTGTATTTTTTAACCACTTTTTCCAATCATCTCTCTCTTCTCTCCCTTCCTGTTGGTTGAAAACTCCCATTGGGGAAGATTCACCAAAAAGTAGAGAAAATCTCCCAAACAACTGAAACGTCTTTCAGATAAGAATAGTCTCCTACAGGAGTTCTGGTCGCTTGTTCCTGCACTTTACTTTCCATTGACTTTTAAAGTCAATTCACTTTACAGTATATTCTGTGAAGCACTTTGAGGTGTCTCAAAGATGTGATAAGGCACTGTATCAAACACAAGGATTATTATCATTATTATTATTATTAATATTGCCACCCTAAGCAGGGTTCTTCCCCCCACCCCCCCAAAATGCAAAGTGTCGCAAAATGTAGCAGATACAAAAGAGGTCAAAGTTTTGGGAGTGGAGCAGGTATTCTGAGAGTAGGCTTTGCAAGACAGATTGAAGTCCTCAAGGTCAAATGGTGTTGGCCAATCTCAATCTATCTCCTGATGGATTAAAAACCCAGAGCACAAAAACCAGCATAAATTTAGTACAAATTGCCACTGCAGTCAACTGCTTTTCTGAGAAAAAGGATATCCCGTTGTAAACATGTCGTAAAGAGATCACTAAAATTGACAATCAGCATTAGAGAGATAGAACCCAGAGAGAAGCAATGATAAGCATTGATAGTGGTAACTAGATTATGGTGCACGGAGGAAGCTTGAAATGGTACCTTCACTTGTGCTGACCATGGCTAGTTATGTGACCTAATCTTTATTAACAGCTTGGAACTGTTGTTCACCGTTTATACTCAGACATAGGACAAATGTCTCAGGAATGGTTCGAATGTTAGGTAGGCCTGAAGATGGGGGTTAACTTAAGCAACCGAGGGGCTTTTCTGCAAAGTCTTTCTGTGATTAACCTTTATTTAACCCTTGCAATAGGTTTGTCGACCAGGTTACATTTAGAGAAGGGTTTATGTTAAAGTTAACACTGGCGGATGACTTGAAATGGGTCTGTGTGGGCCTACAAAAAGGGATACTGCAGTTTTAATTATTTTTCACCAGTTTTCTCTCTGTCTAATGGTTCATCTTCCTTCTCTGGTCCTACTGTGTATTTATACATGTTTTTTACATCTTACTAATGGGTACATCACTGGCCCTGTGACAGACTAACCAGCCAAGGGTTATTTCCTCTGACAGATTGGAAATGTCCAATTTTTGACCAATTTGGCCCGAGCTGCCCAGAATTGAGGCTGCCGTTGATTCTCATGTTATTTTTCCGAACTGGTTAAGTTTGTTACAAGGCATCATATTCCCGGGTGGGACATAAGCATTTCTCATGATTTCTTGACACAGCTGATATCCCAAACCATTATACGTGCCAAACAATGTTTTTGTAACGATTCGAACCAAGAAAGTTTCACATCTTCCCCATTCATCCGTGGGGACCTGTTTTCCTACTTCTTTTTTAAAAAAAGAGAGACATGTGTGCACTTTACTTGTTTGCTGAGTACAAAGGAATGCAATTGAAATTCAAACTCCCAAACTGTGCGAGGTGCCTTTTCATAATGAACCAGCCTCTTCGAGTTGGTCTCTGTTGTGACTGAACAAATTACGTTTGGAAGAGCACTGAATTATTATTAGTTTGGAACGTGTCAAAACAAAGAGGCTGCCTGATTTTTTTTTTGCAGTGTGAGTATCATTAACTTTGAAACCTCTTATTGAAGTTAAGCAATGCAAAACGCTCTGCAGTCTGGAGCAATCATTTTAAATTCATGCTGAACGATCCTAAATCCTCCAATGAACCTTCCTTCCAATGGCCTCCATCAAACCCTCCTCTGAAATAAGAGTGTGTTTCTCTCTTCTGAACTGCTGTCTTTTTTTCCACCCCTTTTTCTGTCATTTTTTTCTATAAAAAAATAACTTGCATTGCAATGCTATCCACTGATGCTTTCGATCCCTGGTGTTTTGCTCGGAGACAAATCGGTGCAGTAGATCATTTGGGACAAGGAGACTGCACTTTGTGAATTGAGTTACAAAACAAATGCATGATGTGCAATAGTGTTAAAATACGTTGGAGCCAAAGTGCTGCTTGGCAGAACAAGAGTAGGTTTCATTGAGACAGTATCTCGCTGGTGCATGACCTCAGTTTCTCACATTGGAAGTCATTGCCTCCGTTATAGATTAACCTTTGACGATATTAAATTCATGCCCCCTTCTTAGAGATTGATTGTTAATGCTGTAGATCAACCCTTGACAATGCTAAGTTCATCTCCCTTTGTTAGAAGTTTATTGCCAATGCATTGATTAACCCTTGGCAATACTAAGATTTGCCAATCAGTAGGAATAACCTTTCCATGTTTACCCTCAGATCCCTCTCTTAACTTTCCTTAAGTAGAAGGAAGTAGAGGTTTGGACAATCTTCCAAAAGAGAATAGAATGATGCCATCATAATGTCTCAAGAGGACAGATTAGTCAATCCCAGGCTAGTTATCCAGGAGACGGAGGAATATTTGTTTGATGTTGAGGTTATAGTGGGGCTACAGTACCTCTTAATTATTTGTCAAAGGATTGGTGTTGATGTGCATTTGTGTTCATAGGATAGGCACGTGTTTAAAGTGTAGAGGTCAAATGTCAGGCAGAAGGAAGAGATGCAAACAATACAATTAAGGTGTCTTCTCTTAAGTATATGATGTTATTCACCATGGAACGGTTAACGATGAGGGTTCCTCAATGTGTGACCGAGTTTAGTCAAGCTGTTTGAAGTAAAGGGTGTAGACCAGATATTTTTCCTCTGAAGGAAAACTGAGAGGAAACTGGATGTTGAGTCAACTTCTGTACATTGTTAGGAGCTGATGGATTTGGGGACAGAGGCTCAATAGTGTCGGAGAGTTCTGCAAAATTGGTGCAAAATATACTTAAAAAATTAAAGTATCCACTTAATCAAATGTGTATTTAGTAGATAAGTGAAAGTTATTCTGCCTATTCTGGGATATGCCTTTCGTTCAAAGGCTGCAAAGGGTGACAGTTGGAATGGGTTTGAGCTCATCCCAAGTCAATGTCAATACTTGAATCCAAGTGCAGCACTGAATGTAAGAAAGGAGGGTTGAAACAAATATGGATGTGTATCGAACGCTTCATTTCAATTCGTATTACTTTAGGTATTAAAGTATTTAAGTATTAGTTAAATATAAACACGAGAGCATGAAACTTATTTTGTTCTCATAGTATTAAGACAGAATTCTTACTTTAATACTCAAAGCAAGGACCCAGAAGTTCCACTTTGACGTTAGTCCAGCGTTACTTTGATGATCTGTAGAAATAGTGCAATTGTGAGCAACTTCAATTCACCAAATTCTCCTTTTCCAATACTCCATTACTACTAATCCATCCACACCCTGGCACCTCCTTATCTCTCCAATCATCTCCTTCTCTACTCTTTCCCCACCCCCTCCGCTCACTGGCTAAGTCTTCATTTCCTATGCCCTTAACCTCTGAAACACCCTCCCTCCACCACTCTGCCTCGCCCCTTCTCTTGTTAAGGGTTCCGAGAGCTACCTTGCGTGAAGGCCACTATATAATGCAAGTTGTTGTCATATCTTTAAGTCGTGCTTCAAATCCCAGCTCTTTGAACACGCCTATGGCCACTTACCTTTACCCCCTCTCCCTTGCTTAGCTTCCAACTCTGTCCCTGTAAAGCGCTCTGAGACATTACCCTATGTCAAGAGGGCTCTATAAATGCAAGTTGTTGCTTTTACTCGGTTTTCCAATTACATCTGATCCTTTGTGAGCAGTTATATCTCTTGCCTTGTCCCTGCTCAACTTCTATTTTGTATCAAAAGACACTTAGTATGTTCAAAAGCACAAGTAACAGCAAGTTCAACAAAACATAGGTCCTCTGTTTTAATTAACTTCTGTGGTATATATTTCTAACAACGAGCTACACGCAGTGACAGTATGACTGAACTTCTCTTGAGCTATAGTTTTGAGAACATAGCTCATCTCTTATTGTGTTAAGCTTCTACCAAAATAAGACTGGAGAAACTGTTACGATCGCTTTATGTTTGAAGTCTTCAACCCACAGAGGTATTTGTGCCGTAAACTGAGAAGCTCCATTCATAGATGTTTTTTCTGAACTACACTCTCTTATCTAATACATACTCAGCCGTAGTCATCAATGCTAATCTTTCTACATAAGAAAAAGAAAGCGAGCTACTGCTGATGGCTGAGTTAGTGAAGCCACCAGCCTAGAGTGAACCTCAGCTAGAAAGACCCAGACATCTCATGTTGGATGCCTGGACTGGGCTGAGTTAGATGATCCCAAGGGAGGGAGCAACAGTGGTACCAAAAATTGGCCTTAACGCCACTGGGGTACGGAGGGGAAACACTCAATCAGGGTTCCTCCTGCTAATTGCTCTCCATCGGTCTGTGTTAGAAAGGCAGCGGGTTTGGTGAGGCCAAACAAAGAGTGTAGAGATATTAGAAAGAACATCTGGGGGGAATTTGTAAAATAATAGGAAAAGCAATCTGTCGGTGCAATTCTCAGCATCTTAAAAAAAATGACAGCGTGCATTATCTATGCTTTGAGCTTCTGCCATAAACATGGTACAAATATTTCACTGGGCAAGCATCGTGGCCGTTAACTGAGACGCTGTTAAAAGGTGCTAGAAGGTGCCTACATGGATTATAGAGTAAGAGAAATGAGATTATTATTAACCATGTTATGTCTTTTCATTTCTAACATATTATCACTTCATCACATGCTCCTGTTCCAAATTTCTCAAGGTATGCATTTCATTTTATTTTATTTGTTCCTTTACTTCCAACATCTGTCGTAACTCATCTATGTCAAACAGATGTTACCCAGGCATTGGTACAATATCATCTTCCACCTCCTTCACGACTGAAGATTATAGAAGTAATCTTCACATCTTCAGGTGTCCGTCACAGGTCATGTCACCAGAGTCTGATTCTTAGTTGCCGGAAAGCGAAACCCACCAACAGAAACAGTCACTAGGGTCACAATCAAGGCTTTGGAGAATCTAGCCCAGGTTTTTCATTGTAGCACGACTGAGCGATCCATTTAGGTTCACTGGGGAGGGAATGTGTGGTGATGAAATGCGTAGCCCTTTGGCCCATTCCATCTCATCCCTCCAGAATACCCACCCTACTGTCCCCCCCCACACCCTCCCCCATCCCTATCACAGCGTCAAGTTTAAGCAGAGTATGTAGACTTCCAAATTTTGGGATAACAGCTCCAGTAGATGGATTAAAGATTCCTAGCTACAACTGCTCACCCACACCCCCCCCACAAAAAAAATACACGGTGTCTCAAATATGGATGTGTTCTGTCTACAGTTACCAGTGCCTGCAGTATCTTATATCTGGAGCAAGATTCTGAAAACGCCTCTTAGATGCCAAAAAGCTTTCTGTGCTTTAATAATCATTTTCTGTAATAATCCACTCCAAATTTAGAACACTTTTGTGGGGAGCTGTTCTGATCCGAGCACTCGAGGTGACGAGTTTGCTAATGCCAGCTAACTGTTCCGATGCTCCTTCAGTATGTTTCACAAATTGATCCCCGCTTAGAAATAAGTGTAATGGAATTTTATACGCTAAGATTTGATTTAGCGTTCTTAACGCGATGTTACTTAGAGGTGAAGATTGCATTACAGTTATTTCTAAGCCCGTGGGGGGAGGGTGGGGGGTGGGGTGGGTGGAGGAAGCTTGCGAACAGAATAGATTTGGTATTGGCAAACCCGCGGAGCAGAATAACCTCCCTTTGTGATAATCACTCGAGAGAGAGAGAGAGAGAGTGTTTTAATACCATCAGTGAAACAAACCATCAGCGAATGCTGCCGTTCAAAGCAAACGTTAAAGAATTGCTCTCAGGATAAGGTCACTGATTTTTTAAAAAATAAATGATCGTTGTTGGTAACTGGAGTGAATAATTGTAATGAAAACATGGTCACAGATGTGTTTCAGAATCTAGCCCCTGGACACAAATGAAAACTGAACATATTGGTAAGTAACATTTGAGCTTACAATTAACTCATGTCTTTCTCCTCTCCTGCCTACTACCCTTCCCTTCAGTTTTGAGTTTGAGGAACTTTTTGGGGGTTGAGCATTTCGGGGGTTTAAGATCATTGACACCTCTTACCACTAGGATCATCATAATGGGAAATGCAACGGTCAGCCATTGGTCTGACGCACAGGGAGACCCATCACCATGGGTCCGACTGGACAGAAACATGTGAACATTGGTTGCCGTGTCCCCCCCCACACAAACCTGCCCACACTGACTCAGTGTTGTCAGAGAACTGCTGGCCCCATTGGATCAACATCCAATCACTGTCAGCGTCGTGAGGGGAGGAGGGGGATGAGGTGGAGGTTGTATGAGTTAATTGTTATATGCTATTAATAGCGAACTATTGTCCAGTGTGAGTGAGTGATGATGTGCACGGATCTGTGGGAGTGAGTCGGACGCTTCACTTGCTCTGCGCTTCACTGGCTGTATGTAGTTCTATTAATGGGCGCTGATCCCAACACTACACAATTATTGTCTTTGCCAAAGACTCTTCCTTTCGTTGATGCTACCTCTGGCCTACGGACTTTCCCCGCCTTGCACATCTCCTTCTTGCTTTGGTTGTGCAGCGCTGATGCCTCCCCTATTAAATAACTTAGCCTTAAAGCTTAGCTCCTCAGCTCAGTTACCTTTAAGGATGCTGTTCCAGCTCACGGAACGCTTTCTCTCTCTCTCTCTCCTTATTTGTCCTTGTGTGCGCTGTATGCATGCAAATTGCTTAAATAACACAAGAGGGGAGTTTAGTGCGTTGGGGCCTAACGTGAAGCATGCATGAGGGAGAAGGGCATAGAGGGGTACAGGAGAGGAGATTAGGTGCGGTGTAATCTCATGTGGAGTATACAGCACAGACTGGTTGGGTCAAAAGGCCTGTTTCTTTGCTGGAATATTGCTATAAAGTCAGTCTAGTCTAACAGGATGAGTTTCTGCTCTCTCTCTCTCTCTCTCTCTCGACGATAAGACAGCTTGGAGCAAATAACGTGTGAGGTCCTTGTGCTCTATGTGACTGAATATAGATAGAGTGAGAACAATAGTGTCTGAATGTCATGACATCACATCAGGGCTTCAGCACAAAATGTCCTTTCACTAACTCCTGCTGACAAACAATTCTAAAAAGCAAATGCATTGCAAGAAAGAGGTACAAGAGAAAATGCTAAATTGAATAGAGAAAGTGAATCCAAGAACGTTGCCTTCAGGCACATTGAGGTAGCGGTTCAAGAGGACAGAGGTGTGAAGGGCAATTAATTAGGACAGATGCCAGGAGGTAATCAACAGAAGGGTGGTTAAGGTCAGGGAACTGGGACTTACTATGATGGGAACACTGTAAAATATCTTGCACGAGCCTCCTATCTAAACTGAATGCTAAGGGCTTCCTCCATTCTTGCTGTTTTTCCCTCTAACTGAGGCTCAGCCTCTCACACCTGAAAGTGTCTAAGCTGCAGTGGAAGCTGATCAATAATCAATAATCTTCCCTGTAGTTCAGCTCCTGAGGCCTGCACGAGTTCCTCTCTCCTGTTCGGTTCTTCGTTGAGCTTGTCTGTCAAGTCCAGTGACGAGAGTCCGAATCTAAACAAGTTACTGTCCTGCTGGCTATTGTCAACATAATTACTGCATCTAAGCTAAAGGATTGCCTCTGGTGATGAGTGCAACTGTGCAGATTTCCTCTGGCATTTACCAATTGATTCCAAACAGCCTGCTCAGTCCTCCCAAAATATTTTTTCAGAAGGTACTCTTCAAAGGCTCGGTGCACTGTGCTATGGGTGATATTGTGGCAGGGAAGCTCACACGATGCTTTGATCCTTTGAGACCAGTCGACTCGAAACTAAAATATTAATCAGGAGGAATTGCCTGTCGTACAGAATAGAATTCTCCGACTGTTGCTCAGATATCCACTATTCAATTGGTCGTAAGCGTAGCACGATCCGGGGTGAAGTGAATCTCCAAACCAAAAGTGATGGCAAAGCTTCTATTCAAACGCTGGTCGTTGCTGGTAATCGTCCGCCAGTTTTGAGAGCCCGAGTGAATGCCCTCACTTTTGTTGCCAAGTTAAATGTTTCTGGCCCTGGTGGACACCGATTGAATTTCTGCCATGCACCTCTCATTTTTCTGTTCAACCCACCCCATCCACACCATCCAGCGGAGTAGATAGTGTGAAGTAGACAGGAGCGGCCTGGGTTTGTGCCTTAACGTTTCCGCTGTAGATCTTAGACATGTAAATTTCCGACTGTCAGATTTGAGTAAGCATCCTAGCTGTGGCATTGGGCAGACAAGCTTCCGTCAAAGTAAATGTCCTGTTGTCTTCGGTTGATCGATTTCTAAATGCTGTGAAAAGGTGGTTGGGTTCTATGAATTCCGACCCCCTTTTTTCTGCCTCGCTCACTTGGTCCCAATGAGACAACGCTCTCGCTAAACAGCAGACCTCTCGCTTGTGTTTAGATCCCTCTCAGGGCGGATTGTTGGAGGCGTCTGGTGGTTCTTCACCCTGATTATCATCTCCTCGTACACGGCCAACCTCGCCGCCTTCCTGACGGTGGAGAGGATGGTGTCGCCCATCGAGAGCGCCGAGGATCTCGCCAAGCAAACAGAGATAGCCTACGGAACCTTGGACTCAGGCTCCACCAAAGAGTTCTTCAGAGTAAGTCTGTACCTCCTTGCATGACCTGAACGTGGCTCTCTGAGACTTGTTTGAAGGGGTGCTATATAAATGCAAGTTGTCGTTGCTGTTGTTGTTGTTGCTGTCCCTCCTAATTCCTCTCAGATTTACTCATTACTGTGAATGGGACATTGCTGGGGCGAGATTTCTAATGGTTGAATATGAAAGTGGATGGGATTCTGTGTTGTGTGTCCTAATTATCTCTGCCTTTTGCTTTTTATCTTTTCCCAGTACACAGGCATGGTTACTTTTGCTTTGAACTAGGCTTATGTAAGCCAATTAACTTTGCTGCTGACTGAACAGACACAGTTAGTGTCTCGTATTTGTACACATAAGCTCTGAATTGACCTTAGACCGCTTGTCTGCGTGGCATCTCACACAGTCAATCAGAAGCAGAGCGATAGATAACCCAAACAAGTGCTGGCTGACAGTCTCACAAGTAAAGTTAGCCATTCAGTTCATGGCTGTTTTTGCGAGACTTTTCGGTGCTGAATTGGGCTACCATGTTTCGCCTGCAAAAACACACAGTCACTACGCATTACAGTAAATCCTGCGAAGCGCTTTGACTTGTCTTCCCACCCAGAAATTTGCTGTATCAAATGCAAGGATTATAATTCTTGTTATTATGGTTACTATGATTATTGATTATTGTTAATATTATTTTAAGGAAGGATTCTTTTCCCCCCTCATTTTAATTCTTCTGAATGAATTAATATGGCAAATAATGATAATAATTAATTGTTGGATTTGGTTCAGCACCTTTCACGTCAGCAGAGGACGTTCCAAAAAGCTTCGCAGGGCATATTGTAAAGTGCAGTGTCTGTGTGTTTTGTGGGTGAACGCGGAGGCCAATTTGAGCATCGAGACGTCCCACAAACAACCAATTTCATTTGTTGAGATTCGATTTGCACAACCGTAAGATTATGAAATTGGTTTAAAAAAAAAGACTCTTTTCCTTTCGTGGTTACAGGAAGAAATGGTGATCAGGGCGATAAGCGCACACAATCTCGGGCTGGTTTTCAGTAAAAACCTTGAAGCCCGGTGCAAGATTTGGAAAGAAAATGCATGTATGTACTCATGCATCCATAAGTAATTAGGGTTTCACTGATACGTATGCACATAGGTGGCCATTTGCATACAGAGATTTGCAGAAACCCACTCACTCTGAACATATTTGCAAAATCATTTTGAAAGGAGTAACAAGGCTTGGACCAAACCTGCTGAGCATAAGGTCTAAGCCGGTGACCTTTATACTAAATGAAGAAGGCTGATGCAAATGAGGTTTCGGCACAGCAGATAATGCTGCAGCAGATGTTTCCAGCGCACTTCGACAGTGAATTGCCTTATAATCTCCGACCACTGTATTTAATTAGGAAGCAATAATGGCACGCGATAATGGTATGTGGAAATGATAGCAGGACGTCTTGCGACACTTTCCGAAGGGTAAATTAATTATGGCTTGTTATTTTAATCAGGTCGGGGATGCAAAGTTTCTAATGTACTCGCAATGAAATAATCAAAGGTGATTGCGCTGGAAATAAGGATGGATGCATTTAATAGAGGGGGAATAGGTGTGTTTACAAGGCAGCAATCATATTCAGTTTAGTTCAGTACCAAAGTAGAAAGACAAACCCTTGAAATATCTTGATCATTTCAGACTCATTTCTTATTGTATCTCCCCATTTAACATTTTGGCTGCTTTCGCTCATTCTTAAGTCAGTATCTAGTCAGGCTAAGGTGAATCAAAGTCAATAGCAGAGGGGAATCAGTAACCGGAGGCAGGGATGTTGCTTATAATGGTAAAATATCATTAAACATCAGACCTATATGTAGGTTACTATCATCCAAAACGTACTCAGTTTGCCTCTATAAATAGGTGCGCCAGTGAACCAGTTTAAGTAGGTTTGGATCTTACCTGAGCTGATCTCAAGTGGCCTCTCCTGTGCCACAAGTATGAAATCCTGTGGAAGTGTTACGGAGTGACGAGCAATTTATAGAACCATTATGTTTGTTACAGTGGGATCATAATGACAGCTTAACTTAACTTTTAATGTCTAGTGTTTCAATGATGGTCCAGTGCAGGTGTGTGTGTATGTGTGGTGTGTGTATATGTGTATGTATGTGTATATGTATATAGATATGTGTGTGTATGTATGCATGTATGAATTTATGGTGCGCATGTATGTGTGCAAGTGTGTGTTCGTGTATGAATGTATGTACATGTATGTATGTGGCAGAGAAATGTGTATTGTAATATGTATATATAATATATAAAGCTGTTTCACCGTGAAACGTATTCCAAATAGGATGGTTTCGGTTTAAGACGCTGCCTTCAGGAGAGGTAGGGAGGAAACTGAAAAATTATAAGTAATTGAAGTATTATCTGCACTAAAATTCCTCCTCATCTGCAGAATTTTTATTGTAGCCAGAGGGGTTGCGATTAGTTTTGCTGAATTCTTATTTGAAAGAGTACTGCGGAATAAGAAACTGATTCTTAGTGATTCTACGGAGGCCAGTAATTTCACCAGTTTTCGGTGGTAAGACCTTATGGGATTTCTTCTATTCATTGAATGCAAACTGCTAGGAGTGAGAGAGAGAGAGAGAGAGAGAGGTGTCTGCCACTTACTTTCGCAAGTGGAAGACACCAGGATGACCATAAATAAGTATTCACTAAATCACGCTGGCTGATTCTGTCTAGACAGGAGCTGCTTTGAGATAATTGTTTCTTCTATCTCATCCCTTTCAGTCTGGTCCTTTTTAATTTCTCCCCCCAATCCACCCCATCCAGGGCAGTGATGCAATAAAATAATTCAGGGGAGTTGTAGTTTAATTTGATCTTTCTACCCCCCCCCCCCGCCCCCAAATCAAGAAATGTTCCGTTGTGGAACGGGCAGCCCTTAAATATTAAATTCCTGATTGAATCAATTGCTTTGTCGTACTTAGCCCATTGGGCATGAGCACGCTCTTAATACCTATGTATTGTTCCCTGGAAGCAATACAAAGCAATTTACATTTAGATGGTGTCTCAAAGTGCTTCAGAAGTAATGCGGAATGAATGGAGAGTCAAACACATTGCTTCTCAGTAAATAGCTCTACCTTGAGAACATTGTACTCCACCAAGTAAGTCATTCTCTTAGTCACTCTGATGGAATAGCTCTGCCCGCTCATGTATTGTACTTAAATTTAAGAGGTCTTAATTTAATCTGTTCGAGTGGAACAGAATTCCTCGAAGGTACTGCAGTTAGAGTTAAAAAAAAAGATAATGTGACTGTCGGTTAATTGATAGAGCGGGGTGGGTGAGGGGGGTGGTGAGAAAGTTTCAGTGAAATCAGCCAAAGTAAATAACATCAGGTGAACTCTAATTCTAATTGTTTGTGGGACACTGCTGTACAAAACTGACTGCCCCGTTTCGCCCACGAAATATACCGTCAATTCGCTTTACAGGATATTGTGTGAAGCGCTTTGAGACGTCGCAAAGACGTAAAAAGTCGCTGTATCAAACGCAAGGGCTATTTTTATTTATTGTTATCATTCGTTCATCGGAAAAGGGGAGCGTTGTGCGTTCCAGAGGAGGTAGAGTGGATTGTAGACATTAAAAGAATCTCTCGAGATCCCGATGTCAGCAGTTCGCTAAAGATCTTCTGGAAATGCTCAAAGGCTCACTTGTTCCCAGGCTCCCAACACAGGATAGAGGTCCACAGCACCTCCCTCTGTCCCGGCTGGACTGTGAAACGTGCTGGCGCCTGCACTGCAGCGTGAAGCTGTGTGGGCTGTGTTACTGCCTGAGCTGAAAACGGATTCACAAAGAAAATTTACAAAGAACGGGCAACGTGGAAGCAGGCCACTCGGCCCAATCAGTCCATGCCGGTGTTTATACTCTACACGAGTCTCCACCCGTTCCCTTTACCGCCTCCCCCCCCCCCCACCTCCGTTCCCCTCCGCCTCACGTGAAAGTCCAGCTTCCTCTTGAGTGTAATCCACACCGTCTGATTCAACCACCGCTTCAGGCAGCGAGTTTGATTTGATTGTTCAAATGGTTAAAGCACGGAGCCCCATTGCCAATAATGATGGTAATCCTTGCATTTGATACAGCGCCTTATCGCGTCTTAGAGACGTCTCAAAGCGTCTCACAGAATATTAGCGTAAAGTGAATTGACTTGAGCATTTTGTGGGCGAAAATTGAGACTGTAGAAAGCAAAGCACTTTCCCCGGGAGAACAAAGCACTAGACGGTAAGCAAAATCCTTTCCGTAGTCCAGTGGAAGTATTCCATTAGGCTAATCGTCATCAGCACTGTAAGAGCGTCTGATTGAACAGAGCCGGGCTGTGGCTTGTGACCGTGACAGGTTAATAAGGAACTGCGGTAAAAAATAAAAGTGCCCTGAAACCGAGCGCGATTTGTATTTAGCTCAGCCGTGTCAGGCCAGAATAAAACTCTGCACTTGAAAGCTCCATTCTGAATCAAATTCAAATGACAAGCTCTTTTTTTTTTCTTGCTTTGGTATCTAGGGCTTCCTCTCCCAGCTAAATCCCTAATGCGCTGTGAATGCTTCTCTGCCAACTGAGGATTTGGGACCGAATCACATTTAGGTTGGTTTCAAAGGCCGACAGCCCGGAATGATTCCGAGAAATGTCCGTAAACTGCTAGCCTGGTTGGAGAGTCTGATGTGGGGGTGGGGGAGGGAGGGAGGGAGGGAAGTGGGGTGGGGTGGGGGGAAGAAAGAGCAGGAATCATTCTATACCTTTCTGCTTGCCTCGTAAATTTTTATTTGCCAGCAAAAAAGAAAAAAAAACCCCTTGGTAAGCATCCATCAAATCATTTGACTGTAACGCTAGCCTGAAACGGTGACGCGAGGGATTTGATACGAGACACTCACCTTGCCGGAGAAGGAAAAAAACACAGAAGAAAAGACGAGCTAATGCAGAAGTACATTAGCTGCAAAGTGCTGGTGAAAGGCAATCCCCCGCAGCAGTGCGTGAACGTCAATCATTGTTCTCACCAAAGGTGGGAATGGAACCTTTTCTCGGCTCTTTGCTGAAAGGAAGGGCGTTACCAGCGGAACTGAACACGACTGGCAGAGCGATTGACAGTCATTAATCCAACGTCCTAAGGTGCTTTAAGGAGCTAGGAACTTAAGCTGGGAGCGGTAGCTGAGAGGAGGGGGTGGGCAGGGGAAAGATTACCAACAGTGCCGTCAAAGAGGTAGGGAGGGAGGGAGCGAGTTGGAAGGACTCCGGGATGGAGATCCAACGAGTGGGGTCAGATGCTTCCTTGCATGAAGACTCCAGGCTACTGTGTGTCAGCCTGGCTCAGTGCTCGCACTCTCGCCGGAAGGTCGTGGGTTCAAATCCCACGTCGAGACTTGAACTCAACTGACACCCCACTGGGGAGGGCTGCTTTGTCGGAGGTGCCGTCCTTCCAAATAAAATTGGTCACTCACTCCATGGCTGTTTTGGGACGTTGCTGTGCTCAATGTGTTGCCTACAAACGCAGTGACTCCACTTTACTGTGTGTTCTGTGAAGCGCTTTGAGACATCCTTCTGACATGATAAGGCGCTATAGCAAATGCAAGGATTATTATTCTTATTATTACATAGTTGCAGGTCAAGAATGATAACATTGCTGGGTTGTCCTATGGAATGAGTATCACATAAAGCCCACTAAGTGACATTGACGAACATTAACAGAGTCCTGTAGCTCAGTGGTTAGACTATTAGCCTCCCACGCGAGAGACCTGGGTTGTCTTCCCAGCAGGTCGAAATGTTGGGCAAGTTTCCTTACTCCACACGCCTCAGCTTCCCTAGCAGTAAGTAGGAACCCGCTTGTTAGTCGATTGGCGGATCGCCTTTCCGGGGATAATAATCCTTAAAAAAAAAACAATGATAATTTGGTCACTCAATCCACGACTGTTTGTGGGACTCTGCCACGTTTCACCCACAAATGTACCGTCAATTCACTTTACAGTATATTCGGTGAAGCGCTTTGAGACATCTGGAAGACATGAACAGCGCTACATCAAATGCGAGGATTATTATTATCATGAACATAAGATGTGCTGCTGTTGAGTCAGGAGTACGCATTTCCTCACATCAGCCATTCATTTCGCTGCGTCTGTGAGAGTCTGACAATTTGTTGAGGGCAAAACTCACTGGGAGATGGAATGCCAAAATTCATTTCATTTTGGAGCTGGCCGGCTGTCAGAGAGATTGTTTTTCCATCTATATCCCATCTGGCCTTGAACTGAACCTGCGGCTTGAAGGGTATAGATCAAAAATACTCCATGACAATGGCACCTGAAGGCTACGTTCATACCACGATACACAAGAAGCCCTCGTTCTCACATTTCATTGCCTCCACAGTCTCGCCACACACTCTATCTCTGCAACTTCCTTCACCCTCACCAACCCGGCCATTCCCCAAGCTCTGCCAATACCTGCCTAACTCCACGTTCCCCCGCTCTATCTGCCCCACCATCGATGGACGGGCTTTCAGCCACAAGGCAGCCCTTCCCAGTGTCCCTCTTACTCGCTCGCTCCCTCCCTCCCTCATCTCTTTCAAGATGCGTCACTTCTTTAACCGCTCTTTCAGTCATCTGTTCCCCTCTTCCCACCCCCACCCTGAGCTCCAGTTCCCATCCAGGATCGTTAAGCACTTTGGAACGTCCTCCCACTGTGAAAGGTGCCGTGTCAGTGCAAAATGCATCGCAGGTACTGACTCCCGAGGCAAGGAATACCCAACCTTTCCCAGTGAGCGGAGACGAAACACTCCGATTCGCGGGAACGCCAGGTCAAGGCGGTGCAGAATTCCTTGGAGTCGTCGTCCCGGCCCCACCTCTCCATCCAAAATCAGTCACTACGCTTAACGCTAATCACCTTTGAAGTGATTTCTGATACCGCAAATAAGACACTGATATCCATATGCAACGCACCAATATTCTCATTCAGCTTCCCTTCGGGGGAACTGGTAACTAACACTTTCATTGCCAACGCAATGCACTGTAAAATGAACAACAGTACAACTGAGGACCAATCCTACACGTCCTTCGTATCCTTTTTCTTTGGCAAATACAAATGACCTGATTCTTTCAAGTCGAGTTAATATGTAGCAGTGGGAGGCTGTTCGGAAAATAGCATGTCTTAAGGGAGCGGAACCAAAAGTGTTTTGGTGTAAGGAGATCTTAAAACTTTGATCGGAAAGTGAAGTGAAGGGCTCGATATAAACGCACGTTGCTGTTGTTAGTTCACGGGAACTGCAGAAGAGCGATGTGATCGTTGAGACAGTTTATACCACTGGCTCTGCGGCTCTCTGCTGGAGTGTCAGTCACAGGGAAAGGTGTCGGGCTGCACATAGCAGAGTCCCATAGGAAAGTCTCACAGTATCATAAGACAGCAGAGGTGTCCTAGGGCTCTCTTTCTCTCTCTTTCACTTTTCCAAACACCCACGCGCACACGCAGAGTGCTCCTCGATTGTCTGGCAGCAAAGTCGAACGCAATCAGTGAGAGTCCATCCATCTGGCCACACTCTGGTCCAGTGTCAGACTCTTGGCAACACAACAGCTTAGCACTTCAGGGTTCCATTTTGTTCTCTGGCGTTGTCGTTGAGTGTTTAAAAAAATGGCAGCGAACCTGACTGGTGCTACGTTATTTTGTACGTTACATTTAGCCTACCCACCCACCTCATCTCGCGCCCCTCCCAGTTCAGACGTCAAGCCAAGATTCCTAAGTGCCTTGAGACGTCCTCGCGACGTGAAAAGTGCTGTGTAACAATGTACAAATGCATTATAACTTGCGAGTGATATTGCACGTGCACGTGTTAATCCGCAGCCCTAGGCGCAGAAACACATAAGTGAAAGATGGATGAGTGCTTTCACTCTTAAACACCAACACTGATTTGCTGAAAAAATTAGTAACACCAGAATAATTAGCACCTCTCCGTATAGCCGAGAACATGGTGTGCGAGGGACAGGGAAATGTCCATCAGAGATTAAGGCCGCAAGGTTTAATCCGTTCAGCCAACCTTCGACAACGCTATTTCACCGGAAAATAATAATGATAATCCTTGAATTTGTTATAGCGCTTATCACATCGTTGAGACGTCTCAAAGCGCTTCGCGGAACATACTGCAAAGTGAATTGACTCGTGTGTTTTGTGGGCGAAATGCAGCTGCCAATTGCACAGTTGGAAAACCTTAGTTATTTCTCTTTTTTTTAAAAACAGAAATCATTCCCGAGGAATTCAGACACAGCGCTCAAGCCGTTTTCAGGTTTAATTTGTATTCGTAAAGCCACGCTGAGAATTTTTTTCAATACATGTAGTCTATGAAAAGCAGTCCACTAATTCAGCAGCTCATTGTGAAAATCGTGTTGAGAGAGAAATGAAATGACTTCCCGCTGCCTGTTTGATACTCTCGTGTTCGATCTGGAGCGGATTTTCTTAGGAATTTGCCGTACAGTGTTCCGTTCCGAAGTTCTTTGAGATTTCTGAACGTCATCGGTTTGAAAGGTCATTTTCCTCGGTCCCCTTCCCCCGCCACCCCCAACTCTTGCAGCCCGTGCCCTCAGCTTTCTGTGGGAAGCACAGTGGGTAGGAATCCCCATCAATGTTGGCTCATCCTTTCAACTGCGGTTCTCGATTCCAACACCTTGATTCCAACTGAGACACAGGGCCTGAAGATCCCCTTCTTCATCCAGACATTAAAGGTCGTCAGTTCTGACTGGTTTGATCCAGTTCTCTCAATTCTCCGCGCCCCCCCCCCGTCCCCAAGTGTACAGCGCAAAAATAAAAGCGTGTTGGATTCGATCCTAACCTGACAGATTCGCTGAGATCGCTCTCTTCACACTGAGTGTGAATAATTAATCAGTGCGGTCGGGGATGTCCTCTGGTGTTGTAGCCTGGGGTTGTTGCTCTAAGGCAGTAACTTGGTACATTTTTAATGTGCGAGCCAAATTAGACCATCAGTCGGTGCCATTCACATCGATTGCTGTCGCATTCCCAGTTGAAGGCTGCTCTTCAGCCAACCTAGTTCGTACGTCTCTTCCTGCAGATGGACTACATGACTCCTTGCATGTCTGAGGCGGGTATTTTGGTCAGTCCAGTGTTTGATGCCATCAGTGTGTTTGAGAGTATCCCAAGTCAAACTGCTGGGGCTTCAGAGACAGTTAGCTACCGCCGCAAAGGGAGTTTTTCTCTTCTATTTTAACCGTGCGGTAATTCTATCTGGCTGACGATGGGGTCTAACTTGCGTTATTTCGTAAACGGATCTCTCAAGGTGTTCCTTCGCGAGGTTCGAATGCAATCTTCAGCAGCCTCGGAGCTTGGAAAATGGGAACAATTCACCTTTTCTTATGAAGACAGGAAAATGCCCCAAATTAGAACCCCTACGACTGTAGCCGTTCTATGCTCCGAACTGGTCTTTCGTAGGGAACCAAATGAAATTGAACCTGAGCCAATTCATAGCGCCTCTCACGTCGGGAGGACGTCCCAAAGCGCTGGACGGCGAAGGATTTGCATCATAAATTATATCATATCTATTTGCGTATCCACATGCTGTATATATGCTCCGCAGTTGTGTGTATAACGTTCTTTCATTCTCTCTCTCTCTCTCTCTCTCACTATCTGTGCAGCGCTCAAAGATAGGCGTCTACGAGAAAATGTGGTCCTACATGAAGTCGGCTGAACCGTCCGTGTTCACCAAAACCACGGCCGACGGGGTCGCCAAAGTTCGGAAGTCGAAAGGAAAGTTCGCCTTCCTGCTGGAGTCAACGATGAACGAGTACATAGAGCAGAGGAAGCCCTGTGACACCATGAAAGTAGGAGGGAACCTGGATTCCAAAGGCTACGGCGTAGCAACACCTAAAGGAGCGTCATTAAGGTAGGTGGAATAGTGTAACAATATCCACATGTTGTTATAGTATTCCACCTACCCTGATGTGTCTTCTTCTTATTTAGTTAGTTGTCTGGATTGTGAGGTAACTTGCATTTTACATTGCCTTAAGAGCCTGGAAATAACAGATGGTAAACATGCAGATAAGTTACTTTAATGCATCTGTTCTTTTTTTATTTGAATATATATATATATATATGTACACACAGAATATCTATTTATTTTTATATTGATATCTATAAACCTGGCGTCCTTTATTTCTCTATTTTTTTTATTTTTTTTCGACCGTTCCTTTGTTGCTACTTTAGTTCTGCGGCTGAGTAAAAAGGTTCCGATTTCTCCGCCCAAAAGGTTAAGTCAGCTCGGCCAACTTGCCAGGAATTGTCGATCGCGTGACGTTGGCCATTTTGTTTTCTTAAGGCGGAAAAAAAGGATAAAGCGAAAAAAAAAAAAAGAATAAAGAAAGAAAGAAAGAAAGAGGGAAAGGACGAACGAGTCCCCATCCCGCACCCTTTTCAGTTTTGAAACCGATTGCGATCCCTTTCTTTCGAATGTGCCACCTTCCAATATTTAAAACCCCCCCCGCCCTTGCGGTTGCAAAAACGTCTTCCCCCCCGTTTCCGTGCCAAAAAAAACCCCAAAGCAGCCCAAATTTTGCCCCTCCCGTGCTCCTTTTCACGTACACTTCTTGCCCGCAGTTGTGCGTTTTCTTAAAAAAATGTGTTTTATTGTTTCAAGAAATGCTGTTAACCTTGCGGTTTTAAAACTGAATGAACAAGGCCTGTTGGACAAATTGAAAAACAAATGGTGGTACGACAAAGGAGAGTGCGGCAGCGGGGGAGGGGACTCCAAGGTCAGCCTCAATGTCACCACAAGCGGGTACCTTAGTACAGAGTAATCGGCAAGGCTGTTACTGTACTTGTAAAACAATAATAATAATGATGATAATACCCTATCTATCTTTCTATCTATCCATCTATCTACCTATCCGTCCACCCACGGCCTTTTTTCTGGCCCACGGTATCAGGTTTTCTTTCCGAGACGTGATATCAGTGCAACAGGGTCTCTTCACCAGATTGACATGACGCGAGGAAGGCGATAATTA